GTCTTTTATTACTTATTCTTGTCTAATTGTTCTGGTTAGAACTTCCAGGACAATGTTAAACAGCTGTGGTAAAAGCAGGCATTCTTGTCTAATCTGTGAAATTACAGGGAAAGCTTTCCATCTTTCATCACGGAGCATGACATTAGCTGTGGGTTTTTTATAAATGCCTTTTATCACGTTGAGGAATCCTCTATTACCAGTTTTCTGAGTTTTCATCATGAAAGAGTGTTGGGTTCTGTAAATGCCTTTCCATGTCAGTTGAGGCGATCATGGAGTTTCTTTTCCTCCCTTCTACTGTGATGTATTACACTGCTTTTCTTAGGTTGGACCACTCATGCATTCCTGTTATAAATTGTACTTTCTTACAGTGTATCATCCTTTTAATGGACTGATGGATTTGGTTTGCTAATATTTTGTTGAGGATCTTTGCATTGATATTTATAAGGGATACTGATTTCTCATTTTCTTTTTTGTGATGTCTTCACATGGCTTTGGTATCGGGGAAATCTGATTTCATAGAAGGAGCTGGGAAGTGTTCTCTCATCTTCTGTATTTTGGAAGATCAAGAAGGGTGGGTGTTAATTTTTCTTCAAATGTTTGGTGGAATTCGACAATGAATACCTGTAGTCCTAGACTTTTCTTTGTTGGGAAATTGATTACTGACTCAATGTTTTCTATTGTTATAGGTCTAGTGAGATTTTTTATTTCTTCTTGAGTCAGTGTAGGTAATTTGTGTTTCTAGAAATTTGTCCATTTCACCTAGGTTGTCCACTGTTTGCATACAATTTTTCATAGAAATCTCTTATAATTCTTTTTTTTTTCTGTCTGTTTGGCAGTGGTAATGTCCACGCTTTCATTTCTGATTTTAGTTGCTCTTATTTCTTTTTTTTGGTCAGTGAAGCTAACGGTTGGTCGAAGTTGGTCTTTTCAAAGAACAAACTGTTGGTTTCCTTGATTCCTGTGATTACTTTCCTCTACCTTACTTTCCTTCTGTTAGTTTTTGGTTTCGTTTGCTCATCTTTTTCTAGTTCCTTAAAGTGCAAAGTTAGGTTATTGACTTAAGATCTTTCTTTTTTTTACATGGGTATTTATAGCTATAAATCTCCCTCTGAGCATTGCCTTTGCTACATCCTGTAAATTTTGTATATTGTGTTTGATTTTCATTCATTTCTAATTTTCTTTGTGCTTTCTTCTCTGACCCATTTGTTATTTGAGAATGTGTTGTTCAATTACCATGTATTTCTGGATTCTCCAGATTTTTTTCTATAATTGATTTCTAGCTTTACTCCATTAGGTTCAGAAAAGATACTTCGGTCAATCCTGCAGAATGTTCCATGTACACTTGAGAAAAATTGTGTATTCTGTTTTTAATTGGATGGAATGTTCTAGGTCTGTTAGGTCTAGTTGGTTTATAGTGTTCAAGCTCTCCGTATTCTTATTGATCTTTGGTCTAGATTTTCTACCTGTAATTGAAAGTGGGGTACTGAAATCTACAAGTATTATTGTAGACTATTTTTCCCTTTAATTCTGTTTGCTTCATACATTCTGGAGTACGTTGTTTGGAGCATATGTTTGTACTTCTGTCTTGGTGAGTCGACTCTCTTAGTGATACACAGTGTCCTCCTTTGTTTTAAGTTGTAGCCTTGAAGTCTATTTTGTTCAATATTAGTATATCAATTCTACATCTCTTTTGGCTACTATTTACATGGAATAATTATAAAATTTGCTCTTTTAAGGTACAAATATAGTGTTTTTCGAATATTTACAAGGTTGTGTGACCCCTTCTATTCCAGAACATATTCGTTGCCTCAACAAGGAGCCCATGCCCATTCCTTCCAAATCCGCTCCGCATTCCCCCACCCCCAGCTCCTGGAAGCCACAAATCTACTTTTAGTTTCAATGGATTTGCCTGAAAATTTCATATAAAAGGAATCAAACAATATGTGATCTTTTGTGTCTGAAAACATAATGTGTTTTCAAGGTTCATCCAGGTTGTTTCATGTATCAGTACTTCATTCCTTTGAATGGCTGAATAATACTCCATTTCATGAAAAACACATTTTGTTAATAAATTTGTCAGTTTATGAATATTTGGTCTTTTTTCCATTTTTAGCTTTGTGAATAATGCTGCTGTGTACGTGTGTAACAGTTTCTGTGTGGATATGTTTTTGTTTCTCTTGGGAATATACCTAGGAGTGTGATTGTTGTATCATATGCTAACTCGGTAGTTAACTTTTGGAAGAATTGCCAATCTTCCAAAATGCCACCCCATTTTACATTCCCACCAGCAATGTATGAGGGTTCCAAGTTCGCACCAAACTTGTTCTCAACTGTTTTTTTTATCATAGCCATGCTAGTACGGCACCTTATTGTGGTTTTGCTTTGCATTTCCCTGAGAGTTAATGACACTGAACATCTGTTTGTGGCTTATTGACCATTTGTATATATTCTTTGAAGATAATGCCAAGTCAAATCCTTTGCTCATTTTAATACTGGGTTATGTGTCTTTTTATTGTTGAGGTGTAAGACTTCTTTATATATTCTGGAGACTAGACTCTTATCAGATATATAACTTGCAAATATTTTCTCCCATTCTGTCATTTGTCTTTTCATATTCCTCATAGTGCCTTTGAAGCATATAGTTTAATTTTGATGAAATCCAGTTTTCTATTTTTTTCTTTGGTTGCTTGTGCTTAGGTGTCATATCTAAGAAATCATTGCTTAATCCAAGGCCACTATGATTGATACTTGTTTCTTTTAGAAGTTTTGTAGTTTTAGCTCCCACATTTAGGCCCTGGATCCATTTTGTATTAATTTTTCCGTATGGTGTGAGGTAGGGGTCCAACTTCATTCATTCGTGTGTGGCCATCCTGCTGTCCCAGCCCCATTCGTGGAAAAGACTGCTCTTTCCTCCACTGAATGGTCTTGGCAACCTTGTAGAAAATTGGTCAGCCATAAATGTAAGGGTTTATTTCTGGATTCTCAATTCTATTCCACTCATTTATATGTCTATCCTTATGCCAGTTTCACATAGTCTTGATTACTATAGCTTTTGTAAAAAGTTTTGAAATCAAGAAGTGTGAATCTCTCTATTTTGTTCTTCTTTTTCAAGATTGTTTTGGTGATTCATGGTCCCTTATATTTCCATGTGTATTTTTAGGATCAGCTTGTCAGATCTTAAAGAATTTAGTTAATTTTAAGAGTGTAATTTTCTTGTTTCTTGCCCTTTTCTTATTGATTTATAGGCATTCTTTATATATTCTGGATACTAATTTCTTATTTCTATAGGTCATCTCTTAATCTGTGGCATATTTTTTAGCATGGTTTATGTAATTTGTCATACAGAATTTTTAACTTGTACATATTTTATTTTTTGCTCTCTAAAGCTTTGGTGTCATCTTAAGGATGTTAAAAATACATTTTTTCCACATGGACCTTTAATCTAGAATTGATTTCATAAATGCTGTGAGCCTATATTTGTTATTTCTGTCATTATTTTGCTAATTCATACTTTTTCCATTTGTCTTTTACTGGTTGCATTAGTCACATTTTATTTCTTTTGGTTTTCCTTTTAGTGATTTTAAATCCCACATTATTTTGTTCCTTTGGCAATTTCCCTTAAGTAATCATATTGAAATTTGAGTTTATCTTTTGTCCCTCTGAATGTTTGGCTTATCCTACTGTGTACCTGTTCCCCTCTGCTCCCGATTATACATCACTGTTTTTTCCTGGCTTTTTGCCCAGATGTTTCCCCATCTCTGTTTACTACTGCATCCTGTCATTTAGTTCTTTCTGTACTTTTTATAGATGTACCTCCTTCAGCACTTCCTTCCACAGGGGTCTCTTTATAAGGAACTGTGTGTGTATTTCTGGAATTTTCTTTATTTTACCTTCACTCTCGAATGACAGTTGAGTTAGGTGTGTAATTCTAGGCTGACAGTTTCCTTCAGTGTTTTGAAAATATTCCTGTTTTCTGCTGTTGCAGATGAGAAGTCTGGCGGCAGTCTAACACCAGTTCTTTTGTGAACGATCTGTCTGTCCTCACAGCCGTTGGGTTTTTCTCTTTGAGCTCAGTGCTGCAAAGGCTTGTTGTGTTGTGTGGATTTATTTTTCCTACTGTGCCTTCAAATCTGGGAACATGTGTTTGTTAAATCCTGAGGGACTCTCAGGCTTTCTTTGGATAGCGCCTGTCCCCACTTATTCTTCATTCTGGATCTCCCAATTTAGAAACATTTTGAAGCATTTCATTCTACTCTTCATCTTTTATTAGCTTTGTTTTCCTATTTTCCATGTTCAATCTGCCTGGGCTGCATGCTGAATGATGTCTGTAAGTTTTCCAATTTACTAATTCTCCCTTAAGTTATATCTGGTCTTCAGTTAAGAAGTTTTCCATTTGCTTTGACAACTACATTCTTCATACCTAGAATGTCTATTTGGTTTTTTTCTCCAAATTTCCTTATTCCTTTTTAAACTATCTTGGTTTTTACCTTGTGGTTTTTATTGCTTATCTCTTCAAACATTCAAAGCATCTTCACTTTAAAGTCTCTTTCAGATATTCTATTATTCCTAGTTCTTGGTGGTGAGAATTCCAAATACTTCACGCAGCGCTTTCTTGGCCTCGTGACGGCTGAGTCCCTGTAGCCCCTGGACGAGGGGAGGCTTTCTTCCTACCTCAGTGCAGAATTATCAACTCAGGGCAAATGTCTTCACACAAGAAAGAGGCCTTTGTTTCCTTAGACAGAGAGACCCTGGAGGAGCTGGCCCTGTCTGACCTCCAGGGAGCCCTGGCATCTCTGGATGGGCACCAAGGGGTGAATCAAAGGTAGTTTTGAGATTTTTCAACATACTCATCTAGCCCTTTGTGACCCTGAAAATGTCATTAAGCTATTAATCTTTTCTGTAAAATAAAGGCATCTTTCTTTAGAGGGAGAAAATGATGAAGTACTATAAATACTGTATAACTCCAAAGAAAAGGCAACAGATGATTTCTTAAAAACAAATAGTTTAATTTCATTTTTATCTGGAAAAAAAACAAATACAAGTTTAAAAAGAAATGCCAAGCATTGTGACATGGCCTCCTGTGTCATTTTTTATGGTACTACACTTATCAAAACATGGAGATACAGAGCCTGAAAAGGTTTTAGAATCAAAGATTCCCACTGCAGATGAAAACCGACGGGTTATAAAATGCCAACTCACTGTATAATCCATTTTCACTCTGTTTTTATAGGGGATATTTTATAGAAACACTATAAAATACAGACTTCTGGAAATCCAGTTATAAAATTTTAGGGAGAAAGTGTCAAGTCCTAATTTCTCTTACTTAGGGGAGTCACCTGCAAGCCCCAAAGCTGAGCAGTGTCTGAGCTCTGGTGTCTGCACAGAAGGCGCTGGCCTGCTTCAGCTCTTAGAACAGAACCGCCTTCAAACAGCTTTTCCCCAATCAGCATCAATCAGAAATGAGTTTAGATACACAAATATTTCTGTAGTGCGGTAAAAATGTGTCATTTTGTATTTTAATTTGCATTATGAAAATAAGTCTATACACCAAGTTAACACATATTTAATGAAACGAAATCATGTAACGAAGTCATGGTGTTTAAAGTTGGCTTTGGCTTTGAAGTATTTTTAAATTCATAGAAAACATTGAATGTCTAATAAATAAAACATTTTAATAGTTGCTATTAATAATCAACCTCAAAATTTCTGTTTTTATTTGCTACTCAATTTTAAAAGAAGTCACTTTTCAGTAGTGTTCCAAAGTTAGTGATTGCACCTTCTAGGATGTGAAAAAAGTTGGTAAGGATCCGATTGCCATTAGCTGTTCTTAAATGCTGAACGTAATTGAGAGAAATTGTTTGCAACGACATCCTCTCACCTGCGGAAATCCCTCGGCGTCCTAAGCTCACGTTTTAATGAAAGCTAATGCAAACCATGGTTCTCATGTGACTTTCCGAGCAGCAAGGCCCAGGTAGAGTGGACTACACGTCACGCTGTGGCAATGGCATCGGATGGTGGCCACCGAAGGTTACTGGCGTCCGCGTGCTTCACGGGCTCTGCAGACGGGGCTGTGCTGCCTGATACTGAAAGGACCAGGACCCTCCGGCCGCCCTCAGGAACTTCAAATGACCAAGGGACAGGCTTCAGGGCCCCGGACGGCGTCACACGCTATTCGGGAGGCGGTCGGAGGCTCCTGAGCTTCATCTCATCCAGTCCCTTCCAGTATTTAAAGTTGTTGTCGAGGTGCTGCATTAACTCAGGCAGGTCTACAAAGGCTGGAGAAAAAGACGGGAATGTGAACTCCTGTCACAGCCTTGGGTGAGAAGTTAGGCTCCCTGCGGAGGGACTGCTTTCAGGGAGCAGGACAGACAGCAGTAGGTATTCGCGTGACGCTGAAGGGCTGCCAGCAGGCCCCAGCAGCTTGAATGGCAGGGCTTTACTGGGGTTGAGCCCGGGTCAGTGCCGCAGCCCCTGTGACACCTGCTCAGCTGACAACGGCAGGAAGCTGATCTGCTCAGTTACCGTGTGGCCAGCACCTTTGGGCTGGGGGTCCGGTGAGCCCCCACCTTAGGGCAGTGCCAGGAGCTGGGCTCGCACTGGCTCCCGTGTGTCCCCTCGGCCATACGCTGCAGGTGCCCCACTTCCACCACCTCCTCCCACGCATCGTACCGAGAGTGCGGGTGGGGAGCAAGCTGGCACAGGAGGGCAAGGGGCCCAGCGGCTCGTCTGCTTGGTCCCAGCGCAGGGGCTGCAGGGCCCGCAGTCAGGCGCCAAAGCCCCGCTCCTTCCTCTCTCCCAGCCCTTCCGGCCACGGGCCCTGCTCCCCGAGCTCCCTGGGAGCTGGGGCTTGTCTCCTGCTGACTGGCCCTGGACCCTAAGTGCGGCCCGGGTGGGCAGAGCAGGTGCCCGGGGGTGCTCCGGGCCTCTCCTTGGCAGGCTCCTGAGCCAGTACGGGAGACTGAAGGGGAGCGGTACCCCTGGGGTCCCGGGGGAGGCGGCACGGGGGCCCCAGCTTCTCTACCAGCAGCTGTGCAGCCGCAGCTGCAGTCTGCTCCCCTCTGCAACTGGCGTAGGGCAGCACGCTGGGCACGGGCACTTAGAGGAAGCGTACAGCGCTTCCAGCCCTGGAGGGCGGCTCACGCCTTCTCCTCAGTCCTTCCTGGACGTCTAAGCCCCCAAACATATTCCAGACCCCGTACACCACCTGCTGCTTCATGTGCAGGCCCCCCATTGGAGACGAGGCTCTTGGGGTTCTTACCGTCCCAGGCATCAAACATGTCTGTGATGAAGTAATCGATGAAGGAGATCTGGGCCTTGGGGACGCTGCAGGTGTGCCTGTCGAACACTGGCATCACCACGGGCAGGCCCTGCCGCTTCTCCTCGTCCGTCTGCAAAGCAGAGAAGGCTGGGTTAGGGGACCCCGCGGTCTGCCCCCCCAGCAGCCCCTTCACCAGAGGCTCTCCTGGCAGCCCAAGGGTCCGGGTGGGCAGCTGATCACAGCACCAGACAACAAAACAGGGTCTGCCACCAGATCCCAAGCTGTCCCCAGAGTGGGGACAGCTCTGTGCCGGAGGGCCTGGGACACCCGACCCAACACCTGGGAGCCTCCTGTGGAAGCTCCTCAGCTCAGACTCCAGAGGGCACCTGGCGGGCCTTAGCCGTCTGCTGCCAGCGCGTCTCAAGCGCCAGGCGCTGGGGCTGCAGCGGTGAGCGAGCAGCGGCCCCTGTCAGAGAGGAGGGCGCTGGCTGCTCCCCGTCTCGGGCCGGATCATTTCATAGGCATGACTCAGCGATAGTGCAGTGGTTCCTGGCCCTGCCCGGGCGAGCCGAGTGGATTCGTGGTGTCCCCGTGCCCGTCAAAGCTGCTGTCACACTCTGCGTGGTCCGGTAAGTGTGCCACAGCGTTGGGTCTAAAGAACAATTCACGTACTTTAATAAGGACTTTACTGCTGGAAAATGCTAACCACCATCTGTGCTTTCAGCAAGTTCTGTCTTTGCTGGTGGGGTTTTGCCTCCATGCCTGTGGCTGCTGACTGATCAAGGGGGTGGCTGCTGAAGGCTGGGGTTTCCTAATAAGGCAGTAATGAAGTCTGCCGCACTGACTGACTCGTCCATCCACAAGTGACTTCTCTGCATGCGATGCTGTCTGTCTGATAGCATTTTACCCACAGAAGTTCTTTCAAAGATGTGGTCAGTCCTCTCAAACCCTCCTGCCGTCAATCAACTAAGTCTATGTCACATTCTAAATCCTCCGTTGTCACTTCAACAGTCTTCACAGCGTCCTCCCCAGGAGCGGCTTCCGTCTCCAGAGCCACTTTCTGGGGCAGCCCCTCATCTGCTCAGATCCTGAGCTGCGGCCGCTCAGCCCCACCTGCAGGCTCCACTTCTGCTTCTCGCTGTTTCCACCACAGCCGCAGGGACGTCCTCCACTGAAGCCCTGAGCCCCCCGAGTCATCCAGGAGGGCTGGGGTCAGCTTCTCCCAAACCCCTGTTCATGTGTCCGCTTTGACCTCTTCCCATGAGGCAGCAATGTCCCTCATGGCATCCAGAGCGGCGAGTCCTTTCCGGAAGGCTTTCACCGCCTTTGCCCAGGCCCATCAGAGGGTCACCACCTGTGGCAGCGGTTGTCTTTTCAGAATGGTAACTGAGCCCTGGCTTCAACTTACAGTCCCCAGTGCATTAGGCCCTAGCAAGGGTGACAGCCTGTCCTTTGAGGCCAGGCCCTGACTTCTCCTCTGTAGCTGTGAAAGTCCTAGAAGGCATCTTCCGGTAGGAGGCTGTTTCCCCCACACTGAGAGTCTGCTGATTAGCGTGGCACCTTCACGAATGATCTCAGCCGGGCCTTCTGCGTCACCTGCTGCAGCTTCTCCACCAGCACCTGCTGCCCCTCTTGCGCTTCTATGTCATGGAGGCGGCTCCCTTCCTCAAGCCTCAGGAACCAGCCTCCGCCAGCTTCAGGCTCATCTGCAGCCTCCTCACCTCTCTCAGCACAGGATTCGTTAGGGCCTTGCTCGGGACTGGGATTTGGTTTAAGGAAACGTTGTGGCTGCTTTGATCTCCTACCCCGACCACTGGAACTTCCTCCACATCAGCGGTAAGGCTGTTTCCCTTCCTGATGGAACAGCTGGGAGGGCCGGGCGCGCAGGGCACCCGTGTTGGCCACCCGTATTGGCCAGGTGCAGCTCTACACAGCGGCCTGGCAGGGCGTGGGGCCTTCGGGAAGCCCGGTGCGGGTACGCGGGTTGGTGCGGCAGTGCAGAGAGCAGGGGTAGAGGTTTGCTGGGACAAAAGAGCTTCTTTACCTGACATGTCCTCTTCTCGAGGGCCTGTGGGGCAGCACGTGACAGTTCGCGGCAGGGCCCGCGTGGAGCAAGGCTAAGGACAGAGGTGCACGGGCCCTGCCATGCGCCGGAAGCCTGGCTTTAATGTCAGGGCTCAGTGGGCCCCATGGTGCTGTTGGGGGCAGTTCAGAGCGAGAGGAGGGGACGTTTCTTGTAAGTGGCCAATGCTGGGACAAGATTTAGGTGTTCAGCAGGACCAAATTAAAACCACCTCTCAGGGGTGGGAGCCTGCCCCCCGAGTTCTCGCCTCTGAACCCGTCCATTGGGCAGGCTCGGCCCCTGCCCGGGACTGTTCTGGAAGCCTGGTGGGGCCGTGCTGCTCCCCGTCAGCAGGACAGCCCCGCTGCCCCGCACACAGGGGCTCTGAGGCCCAGGTCACTAAGAGAACAGGGCCCCACAGCTGAGGCGGGACTCTGCCTGGAAGCGGCAGTGACCCCCTGCGGCCCCCAGCCTGGGACCTCCATCTGAGCGCAGTGGGTGCCAGGAGAGGCCCATGTGCCCCATTAAAAAGATAAAGGAAAAACCGCACGATTATCTAGAATGGTAAATCTTGTTATGTCTAATTTTACCACAGTAAAAGAAAAGGAAGGACTCCTGCTAAGCTGCTTCCCAAAGTGGTTGTAGCGTTTTGCACGCTTAGCAAAATGAACGAATTCCAGCGCTCCACACCTTCACAAATAGTCAGTGGTGCCAGCCTTTAAATTTTAGCCATCCTAGTGGGTGTACAGTGGTTTTAATTTTGCATTTCCCTGATGAGTAGTAATGTTCAGCATATTTTCATATGCTTATTTGTTGTTCCTATATCTTCTTTTGTGAAGTGTCTGCTTAAGTAGGTGGTTTGCTTTTTTATTGAGCTATAGTTTTTTATGCATCCTGAATACAGTCCTTTGTCAGATTGATTTGTAGGTATTTTCTTCCAGTGTGACTTGCCTATTCATCTTCAGCTGTGTTTAGATGGGTGTAATTTCTGACTTTTGATTGTCTTATTTATAAAATTTTATTTTTGTGCTTATTGCCTTCTGTCCACTTCAAAGGAACTGACAGTATCCTCCTCTGCTGCTCTCTACAAGTTTTACGGTTCTAGGTTTTGTCTTTAGGCCTATGATCTGGTGAACTGACAGTTCTCTGCTGCAGGAAGTGGGAGTCGTGGCTCCTTGGAGAGAGAGATCCAGATAGTCAGACACCATTGCTGCAGTTTTCCTTCCTCACTGACGGTGTAAACTGATTGCGGCCTGTTTCTGGGATTTCCGTTCTTTCCATCAATGCATCAGTTAACTATGCCAGCACCACACCAACCTGACTATTCAAAGTTATGGAGCCTAACGATGTAAATCTTCCAAATTTCTCTTCTCCAAGTTTGCTTTGCTCATTCAAGGTCCTTCACATTTCCGTATAAACTTTAGAACCAGTGTGTCAATTTCTGTCCCCCCAAAAAAACAGCGCTGGGGTTTCTATTGGGATTGCATTGAATATAACATCAATTTGGAGAGAACTGTACCTTAACAGCACAGAGCCTTCCAAATCTGTGGGCCCACCTCTCCTTTAAGTGTGATTTCTCAGCAGTGTTTTATGGTTTTCAGTGTAAACAACTGGCCTTTTTAAAAATTCATTCCTAAGTAATTTTTGTTTTTTATTACTATTCTGAATTGGGTTTTTAGTTTCATTTTCCAATTGTTTGTGGCCAGCACATAAAGTACAACTGGCTTTGTGTAGTGAGCTTGTGTCCTGTGACTAAACCAAACCCATGTGTTGCTGCTAGTCATTGTTCATATTCTCCTTAAGAGTTTTCAACACTAAAAGTCACGTCATCTGCAGACAGAAACAAATGCCTGTCTCACTTTCTGTCCCTTGTACCTCCTCCCCCGGCCTTACGCAGTGGCGGGTAGGGCTGCCAGGACAATGCTGACCAGAAGTGGTGGGAACGGGTACAGCCCGCCTTATTTCCGGTCTGAAGGAGGATGTAGCCTGTAGTTCACCATTAATATAATACTAGCTGCTAGTTTTTGTAGATGCCCTTTTAAAAGAGAGTTCTCTTCTAGTCCTAGTTTTCTAAGAGTTTTTATGATGAATGGATGTTGAATTTTGTCAAATGTCTTTTCTGCATCTACTGAAATAATTATTTGGGTTTTCTCCTTTAATTAGTATGGTGAATTATTATAATGGATTTTGCTGATATTAAATCAACCTTGCATTCTTGGGAAAAACTATTTGGCAATGATTTATTATCATCTTCATAGACTGTTCAGTGAAGTGTCTTTGAATCTATGTTCGTGAGGATAACGGACTGTGATTTTCTCCTATACTGTCTTTGTCAGGTTTAGATATCAGGGTAAAATATGGCTTCATAAAATGAGTTGTAAAGTATTCCCACCTCCTTTATTTTCTGGCATTATTTATCCCATAAATGTTTGATAGAATTCATCAGTGAAACAGTGTGGGACTGGAGTTTCCTGTGTGGGAAAATTTCAATAAAATTTTTGATAAAGAATATCTTCAATATGGGGTTTTTTGTCTTACCACCTTGTTGGGCAAATCGTACTTTTCAAGGAATCTGTGTAGTGGTGTCCTGTCGATGCCGGCAAGGTCCATCGTGACAGTGCCTCTCATCCCTGACACTGACCATCCGCGTTCTTGTTCTTTTTCCCCCTGGTCATGCTGGCTAGGTATTTACCAGCTTTGTTAGTTTTTCTGTTTTCTATTTCCTTATATTTTGCTCTTATATTGGTTATTTCTTTCCTACTTGTCTTTTTCTAGTTTCTTAAGGTAAAATCTAAGTCATTAACTTTAAGGCTTTTTCTCTAATAGTAAATTAAGGTTATAAAAGTCCCTCTAATTCTTTCAGTTGCATCCCACAATTTTGACATCTCATCATTTAATTCCAAATAACCCATTGGTCAAATAATGAGAAATTAGAATAGTTACAAGTGTGTTATCCTAGACACCTTATTGTTACTGAAGTACACGGTGGCATAGAATATATCATGTCTGATTCCTGGTCTCTAGCACCTGATTCATGCGAGTGAACATGTGTTCTTGATGTATATTCTGAAGACTTGGGGTGTAATGTTTTGTAAATATTAACTAGGATAAAATGATTGGTAGTGTTGCTTGGATTATCCCATGTGTTTTCTGATATTTTCATCTGATCGCTCTATCAATTACTGACGGAGGGTGTTAAATGTCTCAACTGTAATTACAGAATTGTCTACTTCTCTCTCTGCATCCGTTAATTTATTTTGAAGTTTTTTAGTTGCATGCATATACATTTATGGTTATGTGTTACTATGGAACTGACCCTTTTATCATTAATATAGCCATTCCAGTGTTTTTATATTTGCAATGTGCTTGGTATATTTTTTGTATACTACAGGTAGTTGGTATTGTTTCTTTAAAAATACATTCTGTTGATCTCTTTTAACTGGAGTGTTTGGTCCACTGACATTTAATGTAGGTACTGATATTAAACTTAGAACTACCATTTTACTTTTTTTTTTCCTGTTCCTATTTTTGTTGTTTTGTTTCTCCTTTCCTGCTGCCTTTGTGTAATTTATTTAGAATTCCATTATAACACGTCTATACATCGTTTACTTTTCAGTACTGAGCAAATACTATAACACTTCATGTAAAATGTAAGAACCCTGGATTCATGTAGGTACATTTGCTTCCCTTACCCTTTATATTTTAGTCGTCACATACTCACAGCTATGTATTTTATATACCCTACCATGCAGTGTTACCACTTTTACTTAAAACAGTCCTATGTATTTAGAGAAATTAAGAAAAAATCTTTTATAGTTACCCAGATACTTGCCATTTTTTAAAGCGTTTTTTTCTTTTATCGGGATGTAATTGACTCTATGTTGTATATCAGAAACTAATAGTGTTGTATGTCAGTAGCTGTATATATTGCAAAATGATCACAAGTCTATTTAATACCTGTCACCATATATACCACAAGAAAGAAAATTCTGTAGCTAAGAACTTTTTACCTGTAAGCAACTTTCAAATATGCAAGACAGTATTATTAACTAGAGCCGCCAAGCTGAACATCACTTAACTGGAAGTTTGAAGCCCCTTCACTCCCAACCCTCGAGCCACCAATCTGTTCTATAAGCTAATGTCACAAATGGCAAGAGCTCATTCTGTCTTATGGCTGAATAATATTCTGTGTGTGTATATGCCATGTTCTCTTTGGACACTTAGGTCGCTTCCACATCTGGGCTGCAGTGTACATCTGTGGGTGCATAAATCCTTGTCAGTTAGCATTTTCTTCAGATAAATACCCGGCAGTGGAATTGCTGGCTTGTAGGGTAGTTCCATTTTTAATTTTTTGAGGAGCCACCATTCTGCTTTCCACAGTGGCCGCACCAGCTGACACCCCACCAACGGTGGGGAAGGGCTCCCTGTTCTCCACATCCTCGCCAACACTTACTGTCTTTTTGGTAACAGCCATTCTAACAGGTGTGACGTGATCGCTCATTTTGATTTCCCCATTTTTTGGTGCTTTCCCTTCCTGTCTAGTATCACTTACTTTCAGCCGTAAGAACTTCCTTTAGCATTTCTTGCATTGCAGGCTTACTGGTGGTGAATTCTGTTAGCTTTTCCTTATCTGACAGTGTGTTTGTTTTGCCTTCATTCTGGAAGGACATTTTCATTGGCCAGAGAATTCTGGGTTGACAGTTTTCTCCTAACAGCCCTTTAAAGATGTTCCAGTGTCTTCAGGCCTTCAGAGTTTTGGATGTGAAGTCAGAGGAGACGGAAATCCTTGTTCTAAGTGATGTCATTTTTCTGTCTTTGGCTTATAGCTACTTGACTGTGGCATGCATCAGGATTTGCTGGCTTTCCTTGAACCTGTCTCTTTCATTAAATTTGGAAAAATCTTAGCCATTATATTTTCTAATTTTTGTTTTCTGCCCAGGAGAATTTTTCTACCTAGAGAAAATATGAAGGGCAGGAAGCGGTAATAACATCTTTAAAGTGCTAGTAGGAGAAAATCATCATCCCAGGATTCCATATCCAGTGAAAATACCCTACAAGAATGAGAGCAAAATAAACACATTTTCAGATGAGGGAAAACTAACAGAATTCATTACATGTAAGCCTGTAATACAAGAAATTTTCTTCAAGGACAGACTTCATTTAGAATTCTGCTTCCCAGTTTTAAGTCCATTACCTCTTATGGTGTTTTCTTCCCTCTTCAAGGAACTAAAAGGCTGCATCTTACCTGAGAGAAATACTCTTCTGAGATGCGTGCAGCCCACTCAATGCACTGCTCCAGGGGCCGGCAGGGGTTGGACACGTCAGCGCACTTAATCAGCATCCGTTTAATCAGAGTCCTGTTCTCTGGAGTCCTGAGCATGGTGTTTATGGCTTCCCGATCTTTACCAGTTTCCTAAAACATTAATGGAATTCAAAGCAATCAAAATGGGTCCCCTGGTACCAAGCCCTGTTTTACTGGTGTGGTCCCACTGTAAGCAAAATAAGGCACCGTCCGGAATCTACTAGTCAAGGGTCTCACAAAAGGAGCACAGAGCTTGGCCCCTCGCTTCATAAGGGGGGAAGAGGGTGGCACATGTCTACCCTGCCCCATCTTCTCGCTCTAAGTATTTCTCAGTCATCGTCTTTCTGTTCTCCTTCTCTCTCCCATTCTCCCTTGGTAAAAACTTGAAGACGGGCTTTATTTACTTGAAATGTGATCTGAAAAAACAAAAGATTTCTTTGCACTCACAAAAAATATCTTGTGGTCCACCAGCTCCCCGCTTCTCACAACCCAGCCCTGTGACAGGTGTGATCTTTGGCATTAGTTGTCAGTGTACAAAGGACTTAGCAGTCATTCTCTTGTGATCTGTACTCACAAAATTTTGTGGTAGGCATGAAAAGCAGCATCATTTACAATTACACTGTACAGATGGAGGACACGGGGACTCAGAGAGACGCACCCAAAGCCGCCCAGCTGGGTCAGGGAAGAACTGAAACGCTGCCTTTAGTCCTGGGCTCTGACCAGTCCTCACACCACCTGCTCCCTGATTCACAAAGACACGGATTTCAGTCCAGGGTGCATTGGACCCTCTGAAGCAGATCTGGGTTGGAGGAGGGTGTACTGGGGCAGGGTGCTGTCAGAGATGATCCCAGAGCTGAGTCTGTACCCGTCAGGCACGCTTCCAGAGGAGCTGGTCACGTGACATCAGTGGTCAGTCACGTGACTTCAGCGAGCAGTCACGGCGGTAAGGGAGCCCGAGGGTCCCGCTCGGTGGGGCAGAGCTGCCACCACGACGCGCAGTGGTGACCGAGCCTGGGCTGCCGTAGCGGTTCTCGCACTGGGCCCCTCGCTGCCAACCAGCTTCATGCTGAGTCTTCTCTCTTCAGCTGTGTTAATATTTTCAGTGTGACTACAACTCGGTACTGACAGCTGAAAACTATTTTCTTCCGTGTAATTCTGTTCCTGCTCTGCCCCACTGGACACTGATTTGGTCTCTCGGAAGTAACCCCAACACTGACCACAGAGATGAGAAATGTGACTTTCAAGGGACCTGCCCAGACTGGGCGGGAGAGACCAAGTCTGTGAGGCATATGCTGTTTCTTAATGTGGCGTGGGGTCAGCCGGGGGCAGCGGTCCAGGTGACAGCTAGCCCCGTCCAGGATGGCGGTGTGGGTGCCTCTGCATCAGAGGCAAGCTGGGCAAACCGGGACAACAGGGAAGGGTGAAGGATTCCCAACAGGTTTCAAAGCAGGTTCAACGGGAACAAGTGTGAAGAGCTGGCAAGCCAGGGAGAGGGACCCCGTGAGCTACAGAAGGAAAGTGGAGGTAGAATTCCAGGAATCGTGACCCTGGCCCCATAGGCAAGTCATCCTTGTGCCCGGGAAAGACCCTGAGGATGGCGGAAGGAGCTGGTGCCAAGAAGGCCAGTGCCTGTGGGCCCAAAGGACGAGGGCTCATGAAAGAGTAAACGGGGCCTATCACCCTAGATTAGCCGTGAGATCAGGGCCCAGGGAATGTATGAAGCACCATGCCCATAAACCCGAGGCCTGGAGGCCCTGCTCATTCCGCACAGAAGGACATAGTGAAGCAGAGCTAGCATGGATGTTCGTATCTGTGCTTCCTCAGCAGGTTTAATGTTGCCTTGCCAGGTCGTCTGTCGTGACTCCATACCTCAAATCCAGAAGGGGCAACAATGCCACCTTTGTGCTACAGTAATCAGGAGAGCTTGGTACTGGCACAAGAACAGACCCATCGATCAATGGAACAGAATGGAGAGCCCAGATACAAACCCCTCATCTACAGTCAACTAATGTATCACAAAGGAGCTATGACTATATGGGGAAAAGACAGCCTCTTCAACAACTGGTGTTGGGAGAACTGGACAGCTACATGCAAGAGAATGACACTGGATCACTGTCTAGCTCAAAATGGATCAAAGACCTGAATTAAGAAATAAAACCATAAAACTCTTAGAAGAGAACACAGGCAAAAATGTCTTGAACATAAGTATAAGCAGTTTTTCCTGGACACATCTCCTCAGGCAAGGGACACAAAATAAAAAATGAACAAGTGGGACTACATCAAACTAAAAGCAAAGGACACCATCAATAGAAGGAAAGGGCATCCTACAGTATGGGAGAATATATTCATAACGGACTCATCCGATAAGAGGTTAACGTCCATACACGTAACGAACTCATATGCCTCAACACCCAAAATACAAATAACCTTTGGACCTTAACAGGCATTTCTCCAAAGAGGAAATATGAATAGCGACAGGCACATGAAGAGACGCTCCACATCGCTAGTCATCAGGGAGACGCAAATCGAAACCGCAACGAGGTATCACCTCACACCAGTGAGAATGGCCGCAACCCAAAAGACAAGAAATAACAGATATTGGGGAGGATGTGGAGAAAGGGGAGCCCTCCTACACTGTTGGTGGGAATGTAAATTAGCTCAACCGTTGTGGAAAGCAATATGGAGGTTCCTCAAAAAACTAAAAATAGAAATACCATTTGACCCAGTAATTCCACTCCTAGGAATCTACCTGAAGAAAACAAGATCCGATATTCAAAGACATAGGCACCCCTGTGTTTATCACGGCACTATTTCCAACAGCCAAGATATGGAAGCAACCTAAGTGTCCATCAGTAGATGAATGGATAAAGAAGATGTGGTACATATACACAATGGAATACTACTCAGCCATAAAAAGAAAAGAAATCCTGCCACTTGAAACAATATGGGTGTATCTAGAGGGTATTGTGAAATAAGCCAGGTGGAGAAGACAAATACAAATGATTTCACTCATTTGTGGAATCTAAAAACAAAGCAAAACAGAAGGAACGAAACAGTAGCAGACTCACAGATACCGAGAAGGGACTAGTGGTGACCAAGGGGGAGGGGCTGGAGAGGGGGAGGGGAATAAAGGGGCCCAATAATTCACAATCACAATCTAAGTTGGTCACAGGGATGGTAGAACACCATGGAGAATACAGTCAAGGCCTCTGTAACATCTTTCTACACCGATAGTAACCACACTAGACGGGGTAAGGATTTAATAATTGGGTGACTGCTGAACCACTGTGTTGTACATTTGAAACCAACATAATACTGTATATCCACAATACTTCAATTAAAAAAAAAAGTCATCTTTGTGACCAAAATACAAAGGCCTTCCCAACCCCCAGCCTCCTGTGACATAAAACAACGGAAGGTAGATGCTGCTGCCGAAGGATGTGGGGAGTGGCTGGTGACAGACCTCAAGGGCTCCAGCCGACCCAGGGAGAGGCGAAGGGCAACTGTGAGAAGGGGGCGGGAAGTCAGTCTAAAGCGTGACCCCTCCATTCAGAGCTTTCATACCTATTTTTGGAGTTCTATTTTTTCCCCTAATTGTTTGTACTTTAATTTCCATTGGTTAAAAAATCATTTAAATTCATTGACCCCTTCCATGGATCGTGACATCCCAGCCCATGTCTCCCTTACCCCATTTTCTTCCAGGGCTGCCAAAGGCTTGTTGATGCTGTTGACAAATTTGTTGACATGCTCGAAGTGCCTTGTCATTTCTGTGGCCAAGACCATGTCGATGATGCCCTGGCGCAGCGCCCGGTAGTCGTTCCTGTGTCAGTGACAAACGGGGGGCTGCTACAGGTGGCTGATCCTGAGCGGTGCTCCTGAGAACAGCCGGTGCCCCAGGACGTGCATCCGTCCGCTGCAGCTAGAATTCTAATGTCACTGCAAGTCAGCGCAGGGCACACTTTAAAAGTGCACGTTAAAGGTTAGTGCCTGCATCATTCACAAGGGGAACCCAAGCAGAAGTTAGACTCAGAAGCTTGCGGGCAAGACGCCACAGGCGCAGCGCTCATGCTGCCATCATCCTGCAGCATAAGGCACAGAGCTCTCAGAATAAAACAGGACATAAACCATTTGATTAAGAACTCAGAAGGTTCCAAGAATATGAAATGAAATCTCTATTCACCCCCTTTCTCCAGTCACCCCAGCCCTCTCCCTGGAGACAACCAAAGTCATCAATCAGGGTCTTGCGTATTTTTCCAGAGATGACCCATGCACATACAAGCAACTACAAATAAGACCTACTTTAACTCCATCTCTGAATGTTTTTGTCATGAGGAATGTTTATTTATTTGGATTTCTAAGGAAAGTTTGATACGGGACTTTTTCAAAAAGAGGTTCCTGATTTTACAAAACTCCCTTTTTCCCAGAGGCTCCAGAGTTTGAGGGCCAGTTAATAAGAGCACCTGATTATGTAAGCCCCTGCCCCACACCAGGAGCCATGCTAGGTACTAGGGACAGTGACAGACAGAAGGCATATGACACTGTGGCCTTACAGAGCTTAAGAACCAAATCAAACCTTACATAGATGCTGAGAAGTAAGTTATTTACAAATGTGGTGAGTGCTCTGAAGGAGTCTGGGACTGAGTAATCAGCGTGAGGGACCAGGGGTGGCTTCTCTAGGAAGCAACATGTGAACGGAGACAATGACAAGATGTTTGCTGGGCACAGGGGAGCACAGTGTTCCAGGCAGAGACGTAAAATGACAGCTGCTCTGAGCTCAGGACGTCAGCATTACACTTCGTTGCTGTGAAATGTCAAGACATGAAGGAGTCGAACCTTGAGAGCATCGTGCTAAGTGTATAAGTAAAAGAAGCCGGTCACAAAAGACCACCTGTGGGGCCTGCTGCCTACGTGTGTGACATGTCCAGAGCCGGCACCCCCACAGGGCTGGGAAGCAGACCAGGGGTCGCCCAGGGCTGGGGGGGGGCGTTCTACCATTGCAGTGGGAGCCGCACAGCTCTGAGAACTCCTGCCGGGTGTGAACTGTGTCGTATGTGATTGTGTCCCAATCAAGCTGTTAAAACCAAAGGACAGAGGGACCGCCAGGCCCGCCTGCTCTTACCGCTCCATGTTTTTGAAGATGTTGCATTTGTCATCCCGGGTGGTCAGCTGGAAGGCCACGGCCGCGTGGTGGCTCTCCAGCACGGCAGTGTCATTGTACAGGATGGCCAGCTCGCTACCCGCGTTGCACAGGAAGGAGTTGGTCCTCCCGGGGTGGTCCACGTCGTGAATGGTGGCGGCAATGAGGGCGGCGACCTCATCAACTGGATCTAAAGTTTGCTGGAAACAAGAGATCTTTTAAAATCCGGGACATGACATTGAAAGCGAGGAAGCCTTCAGTGGGGTGTCACTTTAAGGGTATTTTTCTAAGGAAAGCATACTGTTAAGCAAATCCAGTGTTCCTATTTCCACTCAGAAAGTTGTTACCTTTGTGTATGTTTATTAGGAAGCATGATTTGCTTCCCAGTCTCACACAAGTTAAGGACTTACCAAAACAGAGGATGTCCCCGACAGGAGTCCCCCGCCCGCAGCCTGTGCCTGGACGCATGGCAGGAAAGACCCGGGGTCTGAGACGCCACTTAGACCAGCGTGAACGAGCGTCACGAATACGAGAGAGGTGACTTTTATGCATCACTCACATTGACTGGGGGTTAGTCTAGTTTTTTCCATCTTTTTCAAGGCTCTGAAAAAGTTTATGTAACTCGGAAAAATTCCTTTAAAGGCTAAAGAACGCATTGACCATCTGGGTCAGGAGCCAGGGTTTTGAAGAAATTCATTGATAGTTTAAAATCTACTTCCATGGTATTGATCTCTTTGGCTTTCTGTTTCTAGCATTAATTTAAAATTTTTTTTAAAGACTTTTGAATTAGTACAGAAGTATAGGGTGCATCCCTGTCATTCTCCAAATACAAATGTGTATATTTGTGTTTTCTGTATTTCTTGCTTTCTAGTTTGACTGGAACTTTAATTTTCTTGGTTATTTCAAAAGCCGTTTTGGATTATCACGCTGCTCTTCCCACTTTGTTTTCTATTTACTTATCAGTATCTTCTCCTTTCTAATGGCTGACATTTTTTATTTGACCTTTAGTGATTAAATTCTAGTTGTGGTTAGAAAATACAGCCTATGAAATTTTGAGGTTTATCAAGACACTGTGTACTATTATCAGATCAGTTTTGTACTCTCTGGACACTCGAAAAGAAGGTATATATCTAATAAATCAGTCTTGTAAATTTATTTAAATTGAAATTCAATAGTTTCAACTTCCAGTGGGTGAACTGTACGAGGTGAATTGAATCTCAAATGCAGTTAGCAACTGTTCTAAGTTAGGTTTTGACTATATAACAAAAAGACCCATACTGACACAGACATCCCTCCCCTGCCATTTGTCTTTGAGCTTTCGACTCTATTCTGCTGACTTAAAAGCAAGTAAACAAACAAAAACCAGAGGGAGTAGGGAAAGGGCAACTGAGAGCCCCAGCTGCGGGGTCTGACCGTCGGGGTGAGGATCCCCCGTGCGCAGTGTCCGCGTGCTCGCGGCCCTCCAGCTGCGTCCTCTACGCACCAGGCTGTGTTCTTGGACACAGAACCAGTGGCCTGGCCCTTCTGCTCTCAGGTACTTCTAATAGTGAAATGGCTCTGCTGCCGGGGTTTCCTGGACCCTCTTTGCCCTTTTTATGATGGATGTTGGAAGAAATAACACAAATACTTGGGCACATCAGTGCCAATCTAGATACTGCTTCAAAAGTTTCCTTAATGAAATAATTCACAACATGAAAAGCCTCCCTAGGAAGCTTGGCTGGGAAGTGGGCAACACTCCATGAATGGGGCCTCGCCTCCGGGAAGCTCTCCTGTGCCCGTCCCCCACCCTGTCTCCTGCCGCCTCAAACCTGGAGCTAAAGCTGCTCACCAGCCCCAAGGCAGCCCATGCTGAAGGGCCGCCAGGAGGTGCCCCAGCCCCGGGAGCTGAGTGAATGCACAGTGCCCACCCTGACCCCACTGCACCGACTCAACTGAGCAGGACGGCCCCAGGTCACGACAGGAGCTGTCCAAATGGGCTGGATGGGCCCGGAAGCGGGCCTTCTGGCATGAGAAGAGCAGGCGCGTGCCCGGGCGTGTGGGGGCATGGAGCAGAGCACCCGGGCCAGGCTGCCCCATGGCGCTTGCCCTTCAGCATACAGCATAAACACCACTCACCTTTATCCTCTCTTTGCAGAGGAAATACGCAGTGGCGTGAAGCACATCAGCAGAATGTGTGGAATTGTGGTAGGGGTTAGAAGAATGGTAATTGGCTTCGATAATTTGCAGCCATGATCTCAGCGTTGTCTCAGAGCAGTTTAAGAATTCACAGATTCCGAAGCGAGCAGACATTTTGAGACCAAGGTAGATCAGAGGCCTAGAGAGAAAACACCCACGGCATTAACACAGCGCAGAGACAGGCGCAGTGTTCGGAGCCCTGGGGAACTTTCGGTCCAGCCAGCAAACCAGAGCCGGACCTGAGTGAGTGGGGCAGCGAGAGGGGCTCGCCCAGGAGGTGCTGGCCCCCGACCCTGCTCCAGGGGCCGCGGCAGCCTCTGTGGAAGGCTGCTTCCTCCTCTGGCCTCAGAGCTTTTATCTGGTGTCCACACTGGCCGGGCGAGGACTGCTCCCCTTCCCCTTCCCGACCCACACTCTCGGTCGCACTAACGCCGGGTCGCCCCAGCTCGCCTCGCACCTGCACCGCCTTGAGCCCTATCCCCTCCTTTGGCCTCGCCGGCCCTCTGGCAGTGGCCAGATGTCCTGCCTAGAATAAAACAGTTCTGATGACAGCATGTGAGCCAGACACTGCCACAGGCCATGTAATGGCCTCCCCAGTCTGGAGGTGGGGTCACAGTGTGAGGAGGCTTCCTGAGTGGCTGAGCACGTCAGGCTTTTCCCTGAGAATCACCTAGATCCAGCTTCTCGCCTTTTGCTCGGAAGGTCAAGAAATGTGGCTCTGCTGAGGGAGCATCAGAGGTTACCAGGTGCACGGGACTTGAACTGACCAGCCTTGGCCCAGTTCACACAGATGCAACGTCACTAGCATGTGGGCCAGGTGCTCAGAGCCACGTCTGCCATGGGAGTGCCCTTGCCCGTGTTGGGCACATGGAAACAGTGCAGCCGGCCAACTCCTGGTGGGCATGAGCAGAGGGTGGGAGCTGTCCTGGGGGCCGACAAATGGGGTAAGCCCTGGTAGTCATACACGGCCCAGCAGGGCAGGCCTCTCCTGTGACCACCTCCTGGCCACCAGGTCCGGGCCTCACCAGCCCACCGACAGCCCTGGCGGCGTCAGCCCTGTGCACACTCCTTTCCTGTGCACCAAGCCGACCACAGCCCTTTGGTTAAGGGTTCTTTCTCAGCAGGGTACAAAACCGAAGGGAAAATCCCACTCCCACTCTGATCGCACCCACATCAGGACTACTGGTGCTTTGCGTGCTCCATGCCTGTCACTACTCAGATCTGGGGACAGCTTTTATCAAGTGTATGTGTGTATTTCTAACTTTTAGTTCTAGACTCTGAGGGGGGCTCTCTGCTGCTACCTTAACATACCTACAGCAGTAATAAGTATCTGTACTTAACAGAAAAAAGCTGCTATGTAAAGGGGTTAAGTCACTTCTCAATGTCATGCTTCCCACATCTCTGCAGAAGGCATGGCCAGTAGCCTCTGCCCCTGGCTTCTCCCCGGTCCCCTCACGAGGCCTGGGCCCTGGCGGCTGAGGGGCAGCGGCTACCCTCCTGCCCCCCTGAGCCTCCCTCCCTGCTCAGCGACTGGCTCTCTGCAGAGTCCACGTCAGTGGCTTTCTGCACCCAGGCCCTTGGAACCGAACTCATTGCTGAGCTCCGCGGGGACTCACCTTTTATGAGTGGCAGCCTCCAGTTCAAAAATATCAAAGTCCCAGCATTCCTCATTTTCCATGGCCCGAGCTATCCGCGGCGGGACGTCGTGAAGGGTGATGGGAGTGGTTATACTGCCTGAAACCTGCTGGAGGTCTGCAGGGGAATGGACACGGGGGAGCAAAATGAACGGGCGTTCTGGCACGAACTGCTCCTCAGGGGGACAACCCCGCCTCGGCAGCCAGGTGCTCGGCTTCCTTCCGGGTTTTATGACAGCAAGAAACTTCTTACTAATGAGAAAAACCATCTGAAAAATCGTATCTCACAAATTTATTTTCAGCACTTAAGCTCGACTGTAATAAAAGTGATTCAAAAAATTAAAAAAGGAAAAGCTTACTTTTTGTTGAAAGAACATATTCATTCCCAGATAATCGTCGTAAACCATCCTGATAAAAATCAAGGGAACAAGAAAAAGGAGTCACAACTCTCCTTGAAAACCCCAGGAGTGTCAGCCCCGGAAGCCCCCCTCTGCGTCAGTGTCCCCCAGGGCTCCCGTGGTCACCGCTGTGGTCAGCCACCCGACTCAGTCCCACGCCCGGGAGCACCCAGCCCACCAGGTCCTGCCAGCACTCAGGACACGTTGTTTCTTGGGGCCAACTCCCCTCAACCCTTTCCTACCATCTTCCTGCCTTCCCCTCCCCGTAATGGCCACCAGGCCTCCTCTAGAAGACCAGATCCCTCCCTGCCCTCTAAGCACCCCCGCCCAGCCCACTGACACGGGCAGAGAGCTGGTCCGGACCCCCTCCCAGTGCTGGGGCCGCTCTCACCCCTCACCCTGGGGACAAGCCCCTCCCCATCCCTCATCATCATCATGGCCTCCTGCCTGCGGGCTTGGGGGGCCCCTGCCTCACACAGGCAGGCCGCAGGGAACAGGTCTTCCCTGGGGACCATTATACCCGTCAGATGACTCCCTAAAAACTTATTTTCAGGGGATAAAGTGACTTCAGAAAGCAGGAGGTGACAGTGACGGACGGCTCCACTTTCCACAAAATTGTCCTTCCCTGTGAGACCCTGTACAAGACAGGCCACAGAGGCACCAGCACCCCTCAGGCCCAGGGACAAGGTGCCCTTCCTTCCCAGAGAGCCGCCGAATCCGTACAGGGTGCCCCCGAGGGCAACTGCCCCACCCCCGGTGCCTCTTTAAATATACACCATCTTCCTGTTCTGCTGTTTGGAATGGAAGATTTCAGGGGTTTTTTCTGCCCAGTTTTCCAAATCTTTCAAGTAATCATGTTCATTTAAATAAACTACCCATAGAATCCCTAAACAAAAACGGGGAACCAGCTCAGCAGAATGTCTAGCATATGCGCCTCCCTTCTCTGCCCCAAGCCGAGGCCCAGGGGTGGTGGGCTACAGGTGGGGGTGGCTCTGGCCAACGGGCAGCCACGCCTGGCCTTGGACTGAGCCCCAAATGCAAAGGGCTCTTTGTACACCAGCCCATAAACAAAACACCTCTGAGCGAGACAACCGGCAGAACAGGCTCCCCCCAGCAGCCGCGTCAGACACACGCACCGACATCAAGCCCTCGACCAGGGCGCTGGCGTGTGGGTCGTCGTCCTTAGCGCCCAGCTGTGGCGAGTACAGTTCAGTGGTTCTTAGGATTTCCAGCACACGGTCTAAGGCTTCTATCACAGGCATGGGGCTGCTCTCCTGGGCAGCATTGATGATATTGATTACCTGCAACGTGGAAAGAAAAGACTTGAGTTTCATAACCTTAAAAACAACGGGAAAGCGATCCACAGCCAGGTTGGCTACCGAGCTCAAGGCTCGTTAAGATTTGTTAAGAGGTTCGTGTCACACGTGGTCTCTCTTCAGAGCGGCAGGTCCGCACAATGAGAGATTATTATGTGGTGGTGCCCTGTTTCTTCCCATTGGAAATGATCAACTGGAAGGAAAGGGCCTCCGTGCTCCGAGCAGACCGACCGCAAGCTGCCTCACCTTGGAGATGGGCGCCTCAATCGTCACGGAATGTACCCGGGCCGCGGAAGAGGGTCGCCTCTGGCTGGCAGCTGCAGCAAGACCACATGGTGCAAAAATCAGGATTTGCACGGCTGCGGGCACCCGCCTCGCCAGCCCCGGGCCCTGCGGCCTCCCTCCGTGCCCCCGCCCCGGCCGCAGTGCAGCAGCCCTGTGACGAAGGGGCAGGACCAGAACGTGCTGCTGGGCTGCCTTCAGTTCCAGGCACCAGGAGGCACGTGCCTGCGGACGGAGCTCCTGACACCACAGGCCAGAGAGAGAACAGGACACAACTAAGCAGGTCAAGGCCAAACGTCAGCGTCTTTCCGTGTTTCTGACAATAAGGCTTTATAGTCATGCTGCTTGCCTCTCTCCAGGAGTGAAACCGTTCTGGGGGACAGTGCCACGCAGGCTCTCTGTTCATGTGGGGCAGGAGCGATAAACACAACTCGTCGTTACCTGCCACGCGTGAATTTCGGGCTCAGCCTTTCCTGAGTGTCACACCAAGCCTGGCTGACAGGTAAACCCTCACTTGGGCAGGCGGCAAATCCCAGGCTCTAACGTTTGTTAATTTTTGGTCTTCCTGTCTAGACACGGTTCCTTTGGTGTGGCGGGCAGGCCAGACAGTGTAGGGTACGGGCAGGATGCTCACAGGGTTCTGTGGGTCTCCCCGAAAACCCCACTGCAGCCAAATGCTGTTTGTTTACCATGGACTTTAAAGGAACACAGACTGTTCCACAGCCTGACGGTCAGCCTCATTTTACCAAATTGAGGCCCAAGATTAATCCACCCCAGGGCTCTCAAATGCTGTAATGTCAGGGATCAAAAAAACTCTTTTAACTCTAATTTGGTGACCAGTATATGGTCGCCAACTTCCAATTAACCAACAAAGCCGTTAAACCAGAAGTAAAAAACCACTATTTTGTCACTATAAAAAGGACTTGTTTTCATCTAAGAATATAATGAAAGTGACATGCTTGCAAAAACCAAACAGCAAATGCAATAAGGTAAGTGAAGGGGATAAAGAAGTACAAACTAACAAATATAAAATATGTAAGTCACAGGGACGAAAAAGTACAGCATAGGGATTATAGTCAACAATATGGTAATAACCTGGCATGGTGACAGAGAGTCATATTTTTTGAGGTGAGCATTATATAATGTATATAACTGTCTGTCAAATTACTGTCTTGTACACCGGAAACTAATATTGTCAACTACAATAAAAAAATTTTTAAGAGAGTGTATGAAGATTGTCCTGACTGTGTACACGGAAAGTCCAGAAGAATCCAAACAGCACTCACACAACGAGTAAGTTTATCAAGGCCACTGGGCACAAGGTGAACACACAAAAGTCAACTGTACTTCCATATACTAGCAACAGACAGTTGGAAATTAAAATTAAAAAACACCATTATGAGAGCATCAAAAGCCATCAATATTTAGAAATGAATCCAATGAAAGATGGGCAATATATACACATTGAAAATATAAAACACTGATGAGAGAAAATAAAGACCTAGAGACACAGAGCGTATCATGGTTTAAAAGACTTAGTATTATTGAGAATTCAACTTTCCTAAACTGACTTATAGATTCCACACACTCCCAGATAAAATCCCAGAGGCTTTGTGTGTGTGTAAATTGACATACTGATTCTAAGTGTTGTGTGGAAATGCAAAGGACCTAGAATAGACAAGATAATCTTGAAGAACTTTAAACTACCAGATACAAAGACCTACCACAGGCTGTGGCGAGCAGCGGTGGTGCGGTGCGAGCGCACACTCACAGAACAATGACGGAGGGTCCGGAAACAGGCCGTGTAGTTGTAGTGACCTGATTTGCAACAAAGGTGCTGATGCAAAAGATGTTTTTTTTCAATAATAGCCGTGGGCCAACTGGGTTTCCATGTGGGGGGGAAGCTCCTCCTCGATCCCTACCCTCACCAAACATAAAAACTAATTTGGAATGGATCACAGACCTAAAGTGAAAGATAAAATAATAAAGCTGCTGGAAGAAAACATGGGAGAACACCGTCAAGGCGTTGGGATACAGATTTCTTAAACAGGACACAGAAAAGCACTGCTATAATAGAAAACACTGATAAAATGAACTTTAACAAAATTAAGAAGCTCTGCTCATTAGAAGACCATTCAAAGAGTAAAAAGGCAAATCACAGACTAAGAAAATATACTTGCAATACATATATCCAATAGGGGACCGTTCTTGAGAGTATATGAAGATAATTTCCGTAAACCAACAAGATAAAGAAAAACCAACCAAATACATGTAAATGGGCAAAATATCTGAACAGCACTGCACAAAGGGTGATATCCAAATGGCTAACAAGGGTATGAAAGGGGTGCTCAATCTCAGGAAAATAAAAACTGAAACCACACCCCTCAGAAGGGCTAAAATGCAAAACGGTGGTAGAACTGAGAGTGGGAGATCCCCAACAGTGGCACTCTCGCAGGTAGTGATGGGGGTGACCTGGTACCATCTCCCCTGGACAACTGTCTGCAGCTGCCTGAGGGTCCAGCAGTCCATTCGTAGGACAGATACACATGTCCACAAAAATAGACTTGCATGAAAACTTGCACATCAGCCTTATTAACAGCCCCAGAGTGGGAAGAGGAAGGAATACAAACGCCCATTTACAGAAGGATGAGCAAATCGTGGCGTATTCACACCATGGAGGGCCACTGAGCAATAAAAAAAATGAGCTATACTGCTCCACCTAACAGCATGGATGAATCTCAAAAACACTGAAATACGTGAAAGCCAGACAGAGTGCATCCTTATGGTTCCATTTCTTTGGAGCACAAAGAGAAGCCAAATTAATTATGGTGCCAGAACCACTGGTTGCCTCCAGGCAGTAAAGGGTGTGTGTTTGTGTGTCTTATTTCTATATCTATTTTGGGTGAGTCTGTAGAATTGTCAAAACTAATTAAACACTTAATGTTTGAGTTATTATATGTAAATTATAACTCAATTAAAAATAACAGTAATTGAAAACCAAATCATTAGAAGAAAAATGTTTAACTCTTGAACATGCAGAAACAGACAGTCATTCAAAGGATGAAAGGACATCAGAGTGTGGCAGGCGCCGGGACCCTGCTCCGCTCTGCCCGAGGACGACAAAGGATCCGGGTGGGAGCAGCGATGGCCACTGGGAAGATGTCCGTGGGAGCCACCACCCTGCCAGGCGCCACACACTCACTGAATCCTCATATGACCCTCTGTGGACAGCGTGATTATCCCCATTTTATGACAAAGAAATGGACGCACAGCCGTCTCTCCCCAAGGCTGCACAGAGAGTAGATGAAACCAGGATGTGGACCAAGGCCACTCGGGGGCCAAATCCCACGCTCTCCCGCGGACCGCCACCCTGCGGCCCTGCTGGTGCATTCCACCCAGCCCTCGTCGCAGGCCCGGGACCCGGGGGGATGGTCTTCCTGACACGAGGGGCACCCCACCCTTTCTCTCCTGGCAACCAACTTGAGAGGGAGGTGGGAGCGGGCGCCAGCACCCCCAAGGGAAGCTGAGGTGCACTGCCCTGGAAGGTTTTGGCTTTTTATTTAATAACAACCAGTTCCATATGCTTCCCGGTTCAACTACGGGTCAAAGAGAGTACACGCTAGCAGTTAATATTTGCCTCCACGCTATCCATAAATAATTTCATTATATTTTTAAACTACTAGATCATTCAGGCTCCGTATCTATATAATCTTAAAAAATCATATTCCAATTAGGAGTAAATAATATTTGCTTAATAAATCTTTCACATCCCCAAACGCGGCTCACCCCCCCTCCCCCCATCAAAAGAGAAGCTTCCACGGCAAACCACGACCCGGGATGCAATATATTGCCAAGGATTTCACGTGCACCACACACAGTCACAGCAGATAACCCACGTCTGCTGCAGCGGGTCAAGGAATCAGCTCCAGAGCAGATGGCAGAACCCGCCTGTTCACTCAGCCCGACTCCATCAGAAGGCTCAGGGTGGCGCCGACTGGGCAGGAGTCCCAGGCAGGGGGAGGGGACGGACACAGGTCGCTGGAGCCCCCTCCCACTCCCAGACTGGGCAAGGCCAGGCAGGAGGCGCCAGCCCTTCATGCGTCGGGCCGGACCACCGTCTCCTCCTGCCGCCGCCACCTACCTTCACTCGCGCGTGAGGCCATAGTCCTGACGTCTAGCGAGCTCTTTCGCCTGTCTTTGTGTTTGCCTGACTGAGTATCTGTGGAAACAATTAAATCATAAATCATCTCTTCACAGGATTTTAACAACATACTAGGACAATTACCAATCTAAAATTTTTTTAAGTATTAGGACACCATTTAAGATGCCACAAAAACCAATGCAGTGCACAGAGATGAAGACTAGGGAGGGACCTTAAGGGGGCTGCTTTTATCAAAATGTCCCTGTGGTGTGACCACAAACACGTGCTTCAGTTTCCAGATTATGCAAATTCAGGGTCTAAAGATAAAGTTAAAAACTAGCAGAAATGAACTCATAAGTATTTCTCCTATTACACGTCTATATAATTGGGTAAAATGGTGGGAAATTTTTGACCCCCATCCATTCTGGCCCAAAGGAAAGAAAACATCTTCTATGTGTTTTTTCTACAACACAAGCTCCGAACATCCAGGAAAGAGCATGTCTCCCTTCGAGGGCAGAACAGGGAACACTGGTCGCGGGCATATCCCCAACCATGGTCTACGTTCCCCACTGATGACCCCCGTTCCCGCCGGCCAGCTCCTCCGGGCCCTCAGCCTCCTCTCTCCCCCTGACCCGGTGCCTGTGGGTGGCCCGGCAGAGCCGACCATCCTTCCTGCCCCCTCCATGCCCCCACTGGGTGTCACCCAGGTGCTGAGCCTCGCCAGCCCATCCCCACTTGGCAGACGAGGAAGCTGCGAGCCGCCCTGCCAACGAGCGAACCAGAGCTGGCGCTCCAGCTCAGGGCTCCCACCTCCGGGGCTTTCTCCGTCTCACCCGGAGTCCCTGCTCACAGACAGGATCCCAACACAGGCCTCCAGCCCCCTCCCCGCCATCAAGCTCTTCATTTGCTATTTGCTGCGTTCTCTTTGCCCTGGGCGCCGACAGTGAACTGCCAGGCTCACGGGTGACATCCTCATTCCCGCATCAGGACACGATTCCGTCCTACCTTCCCTGGACGGCTGTACTGGAAGCTCCGGGTTTGCACAAGCCCACACGCCCGTCTCCCTCCTGTCCTCCCCGGGTCCTCTTCCTCAGCTCCTCTCGGGTCCCCAGAGGGTCTGGCCTCGCCCTTCCTCCCAGACTGCACGGCCTCCCGATCTCGTCCCTCCCTACAGCTTCAGCCGACGCCTGTGTCTGTCTTACCCCAGGCCTCTCTCCTGGGCTCGACTCACATCTTAGCCCGCCCTGGGCCCCTCTGCTTGAATACCACTCAGACACTGCAAATGAACTATCTTCTCCCGAATCCACTCTATCCAGCTCACGGAACAGCATCTGTTTTTGCGTAAGTTGGAGACAAGTCGTCCATGATTCTGCCCCTCTGCTCTCCCCACCAGCGACTGGTCAGCTCAGCCTGCAGGCTCCCTGACACCTCTTTAATCCAGCCCCGCTCAGACGCTTGGCCTTCCTCCGCCGGATCGTGGCAGCCTCCCTCGTGGGCCCGCCGCCCCAGGCCTCTGCAGGCAGGCAAGCGCTCCTTCTAAAACAGTCTCTGACCAGATCACGTTCCCAGTTAAAACATTTCTAAGGCTCATCGTCGCTTCCAGGATATGAACTTGCCCGTGTGGCACCCAGAGTCCCGAGATATGCAGACGCCCCCCTCCAGCTGTCACGCACTGTGAGGCCTTAGTTTATTCCCGGCCTTTATGCCTCCGTACAGGCTGCTTACCTCCACTTGGGAATTTACGTCTCCCAGGCGGCCTTCTTCACCTGGTTAGAGCTCAGTCCTTGGAAGGTGCAGGTAAGAGGTGGTCCAGGTACCGTAAGCTATGGGAGTGTTCCCCCGAGGCCTCCACACCCCACCCCAGCATGGCCCATGACCACCTGCTTTCCTGTCTGTCTGCTCACCAGCCGTGAATGACATGCGGGCAGAAACCATCTCCCTTTCTCTTTCTAGGTGCCCGTCACCGCCTAGCGTGTTACAGCTGTTCAACAGACACATCCGCTTCTCCAGACCCTTGCATGTTTCTGTGCACAAATGGAAGTGCCACTGAGATTACCCAGTGCTCAAAACCCCTCCACACCTCAGAGATAAAGAGCAACATGCTGGCAGTCAAGAGTCCTGGCCTCCTGGCCATAGCCTGCCTTTCACGTCTCCGTCTTGCCCACACGTGGGTGATGTCAGTACAACCACTCCCCGCATGTCTCAGGAACAGCCGTTCTGCCTCTGACATATGACACTGAGCCCTCCAGACGCTCATGCCTTCAAACCACACCGCCTCCTCTCAACACACGGGCCCGAGAGTGTCTCCTTCACTGCGCTACATGGAGATTAATGCGCACACAGCCACCTGGTAAGGATGGGCTGTGACTAGTTTTCCTTTACTCATCTCCTTTGTATTCAGTCAACAAACATTTACTGGGCACCTACCACGTGTCAGGCCCTAAGCCAGGCCTTGGGATGTGAAGGTGCATAAGGTATGGTCCACGTCCTCAGAGGTGGTCTAGGGGGAATGGAGGCGGGGAAACCAAGAATTATGGTAGTAAGTTTCAGTTCAGAAGGAGCCCCAAGAACCTGGCAGACCCTCCTCTGGGAGAGGGCAGGGCGGGGGTGCACACTGCAGATGGAGCCGAGCGGAGGAGGGAGGCCCGTCCAGGGAAGAACCGCCTGCGTGGATGGAGCCGAGTGGGGCTGCAGAGGAGCAGGAAGCGGCGCGTGTACCGAGGACGAAGTGGCCGTGAATTGTTCCTTAACTTTATCTGCACGTAGACACCATGGCTTCCTGCTCCCAAGGGCCCTGCTGAGATCACTGCTCCGCGCAGTCCCTACAGCACCTTGTAGATGATTCTTAAACAAACTCACCTGCTGGAGGCCCAGCTCTCGGGAGCTGGACTCAGGGGCACCGGGGCATGAATGTCAACCAGACCACGGGCCCCCTGACGGGGCAGCGAGCACAAGCCCCCAGACTTTGGGGGTGCCTGAGAGATTTCAGGGAGTCAGTGGAAAGTAGGCTAAACCACCTCCATGACCAGGGCTTGGGCTCTGCACCACCCTCAGCCTCATTTCCTGGGCCTGCTCTTCCATAAAATGTGATCTTTCTACATCACCCCACCTTTGAAGTGGAGAGAAATTAGCCGCCTTTGCTTGGCCTGCCAAGTGACCCGGGGAGCCCTGGAGGCCGCGAGGACAGTCGCTGTGAGGCGCCCAGTGGAGACAGCCAGTGTCAATGCCGGGGCCTGGCAGGGCGCGCTCCGTTTGGGGTGTGAGGAAGCCAAGAACCCGCTGTCTCACATGACCCGCCCAAGTGCCACTCTGTGGGGAGCAGAGCTGACCTCCAGGGAACCCTCCCGGCCACTCAGCGGGTCAGGCCGCTGTGGAGCGCTGCACTGCACTGGCCCCGCCCTCTCTCAGGGTCTCTGCCGCCTCCCCACCGCCCAGAGAGCCCCCACGTCAGTCTCCCTCCCTCTTGCGCTCTGCAGCTGCTTCCTCCTCCGAGAGCTTCCCTCCGGGTGCAGAGCGGCCCTCAAAGCCCGGGGCCCACGAGGCCAACACACGGGGATGCCTGTAACGTGTGCTGAGGCCCTGCACATACCACCTGAGCTGGAGGGCACCCTGCTAGGCGAGGCCGTCCCGCCCACCTCCCCCCACACACAGGATGCAGCTTCTCCCAAGCGGAGACACCCCCACTGCCAGGTGCATGGGAGCTGGAGGCTGGGATCCGGATGAACAAATGAATCCCGCACCCTGCTGCCCCGCCCACCCCTCTCTGAAGCCCGAAGTCGGCACCCGTGGCCTCTCCCACCTCCTGCTGTGCCCCCTGGTGTCTGTCAGTGTGACCGGAGCCCAGCGGCCCTGGGGTGCCCACACGAACTGGCCCAGCGTGGGCTGCAGAGCTCTGGAGCTGGACTTCGGGATTTGAACACCAGCTCTACCACTTCCCAGATGGGTCCCCTTGGGCAAATTATTTAGCCTTTCAGTTTTCTTACCTATAAAAGGGAACTCCATCTATAAAATGTCCTCTCCACTAGGGTTGCTGCAAGCCTTCAGTTAAATACACTCTAAGTTAAGCATTTGGCACAGTACCACATACATAGTAAACACTCAGAAAAATCTGTGGGAAATGGTCCGAGAATGAACGAGCGAACTGCTCGCTCTTGCGGAAAGCGCATGACCAGCTGATGGGGTGCAGCCGGGCCTCTCCAAGGCTCTGACGGATGGCCAGGCAGCCAGGGCACCGCCGGGCGTGGCAGGGCGATGGAGAGCCTCCAGTGCAGACCAGAGCAGCCTGCACACCGCAGCCGGCCTCTCCTCTGGGAGGCCAGAACAGGGCGGTGGCTTTGAAGCCATGACATGTACGTGAAGGCACCAGGCGACTCCAGGCCAGGGAAAAACATCTGCAGTAACAGCTGGTGTCCAGGGCCCAGTAAGACAGATGCGAGTTGAGGTGAACTGGTGGGGCCGCCACCCCTCCGCACGGGCTGGTGGCGACTGCTGCTGGCGACTGCTGCCGGGAGACAAGGGTGCTCCTGCTTGGGGACCGGAGTCTGGCACCCCCACATCGCCTCTCAAAGCACGGATCAGGCCAACAAACCACACTTCACTCCGCACGTCTTCTCATGAGTTCCTGCATTTGAGGCCATCAGTTCTCCCCCGCAGGCTGAGACCCACCCTGGGCACCTGTCAGAATGCCCACAGGAGCTCAGCTCCTCTGACTCATGAGCCAGTTTGAGGAGTTTAGGAGAGAAAAGCTGCCTCACTGCCAAGAAAATACAGTCCCACCGACGTGCCAGGCCAGCCAGAGTAAGGGACTGCTTGTATTTTACCTTTCAAAAGCTCTGTGAACCCTAAGAATGAATATGGAGCACCATACCTGTTTGAGTGTCAGACTGAACACATTCAGTTATTTTCTCAGCCTAAAAATGAATTTTAAAAGCCATTATTAGTCCTGCTCGCCTAGTCACACTATGAAGAAGTCTTGGGGGCGCGCCTGGGGCCGCGGGGGCTTCCCTTACATACCTTATTGTTGCCATTGCACACTCTGATAATGGACACATAGTGTCTAATTTTTCTGCAAGTAGAAAACAATGCATTATTTCTCTCCTGGCTCTCTGTTCTAGGGGTATGTAGCTAACTTTTCATTCTGAAAAGAGCATTTCTTTCACAATACCCAGAATGCTTTGAGGAGAGCATTTCTATCGTCTGTGACTGAGGCCACTGATAAACGAGCACGTCTGCCGTACGCTGGCGCCCCCTTAGGAATGAAGTCGGCTCTTTGGTAAAAACTAAACTTTTCCAAGTCATCATGACATATGATAAAAAAACACCTATGTTTAAAATATATACTACAGGTCAACCTACCAAAAGCCTTGAATTCCTTAACCTGTGTTCACGTTCACAACCCTTTATATTGATGCTCCTCTTCAAGCTCCAGGGAGCAGCGTGTCACAGTCCCTCACGGGGACAGCCGCCAGCCGTGCCGGGGCCGTGGTCCCATCTGACTTGGTCAATGAGGGCTCCAGGGCAAAGTCAGGGCTTGTCTCAGAAGCTGCTGACCCTCCCCACTTAGTATTATTCCTTCCAGTTTTCCTGTTTCTTCCCCTTGATAATCAAATCCCCATATACTTTTCACAAAAAATTTGGGAAGGACAAAAAAAGACAAAGGAGCAGAACACAGCCACACGGATCTGCCTTCCGAGGTGGCCGCCACCCAGCAGCAGAGCGTGCTGACCACGCGCGGGAGCCATGCAGTCAGGGCAGAGGTCTGCAGCCCGACCTGGGCCAGACGCCTCTCTAAGCCTCGGCTTCCTCATCAGTAAGATGGAGATGATGGGCACTGACGTCACAGGGCTGAGGTCAGCATGAAGTGCAGTGGCGTCTGTCCGCCAGGCCTGGGGAGCCTGCCCTGGGGGAGGGCGCGATGGACAGGAGCAGGGCCACCGACGACCACCAGCACCCCACCTCCTCCTGTTCTTTTCCCTTTTTCCATTTTCCTGATAGCGATCACACACTAGGTATGATTTTACATATTGATGTCTGCATTTATCATAAGCACTTTTCCTTATAATTATTATTCTATCTCATTTCTAACAGTTGCATATTTTATTGTTAGGCATTCTGTAATTCAAATTCATAATTTTTCACCACTCATATTTTATGAGAGCTTCCATGGTCGTATTCAAAACATGTGTCTCATTTGATAGGTCTAGGAAGAAATAACAGGCTATCAAATTGGACAGAACTCTTTTAAACAAAGCAAGTGTTCTTAACACACAGCTTAATAAAGTGACTACTTAACAAGTGACTTTACAGAATTCTGATTCAAATACGGTGTCTCTTCTGCATCCATGCAGCGCAAGCAAGATCCTTTGGCACCTGGTGGCTCTGGGTCAGGCTACAGCCATGAGGTGGCCACCCTCGAAGGCCCACCTTTGGTGACATCTGACAAGTCTCTAAGTTCTGCAGGTGGGCCTTAACTAGTCAAAGCACATTCTGCATGAAGCCAAGCAGGTTTGGCAGCTGACATGCGTGCTCCCCACTTACCCTCCCTGTCCAAGGACAGGTATTATCTTCACATTTTGCTGTATGTTATCTCCATTTTTCTTCTTGGCATGGTAAATTCCTTGCCACTCCTACAAACAGAACATAAATGTCAATACTTTGTGTCCAAACCACAAACCCAAGAACACTTTCCATGTCCAGTTCCAAATGATTTCCCACTGCTACACCAATCGGGGTAGAAAGTTACCCCAATCCCGGCCACAATTTTGGGTAATCTGACAATTCCTTCTCAGCCTCCCAAGCCCGCCTCCTCTGAGGTTGCAGACAAGAGCCAGGTCAGCCACAGACTGAGTGGTCTGTTTCAGGGGCTCTCTGCTGGCAAAGAGGCCTGGGCCCACAAATGAAGAGCAGGCCTCCCTTCAACACACAACACAGCTTCTTCTGCTCCCGGCTCCCTCCTGCTGCCCTGAGTGGGTAGCATGGCCTCTGCCCCTGAATTTGGGAGAAGGGAGAATCTGAGAGGGGGCAGAGGAGGGGCCATTCTGGGGCCACTGGCACGGTGGGCTGCTACCAGCCTCTGGGATGTGTGAGGGTGTCGGGCTCTCAGCAGGTGAGGTGGGGATGGTCGGGTAACAGCCAGGACTATGCTCATGTAGCGCAAGCAGGCGAGGCCCTAAAGGCCAGGCTGCAGCTGCATTAGCTCTGCTCACACATAGAGGGGTTCTTGTAGAATGAACTGCAGCCTGGGAGAGCAGGGATGTGTGGGATGTGACCACAGCAGGAGAGCAGGGGCTGCACCCCACTCTTGGGGCACGGGGGTGGCCTGGGATGGACCTGGGTTTTGTCACTACTGAAAAGGTTCTGAATTCCTCCAAGAGTCACCAAGTCCCTAAGCTGTGAAATCCCTAATAGCCACTGTAGGACACGGAATCTCTAGGGTGTTCCAGGACCTCGACCTCCCAGGGTCCCTCAGGCCTTGGAGCTGACCCAGGCAGGAATGGGTCAGCACGGCAGCCTTGGTAGCTTAGTTCAAGTCTCCCATCCAGACCCTGTATGAGGTCAGTCCTGAAATCTGAGCTTGGCGCGTGGCAACCTGCAGGCAAATGCCAACAGTAAAATCTGCTGGTCTTCCAACCCCTCTGGGAAAGTGGCTCCGTGAAAACCCAGGAGGCTCCGGCCGAGCATGGGACGGCTACTGCCGTTTCCTGGTGCGCTGAAAACAATGGGCGCCAAGAAAGGCTTGAATCAAAGAGCAGCCAGAGGACCAGCTCGGTGCCCACTCAGCCGGGCTTCTGACGAGCCGAGGCAGTTCCTTCTTGGTGCCCATTGTCTCAGGAATTAAATCATCGCCACCAGGCTGTCCTATCGCCAGGGCTGGCACAGCGCTGCACGCAGTAAACAGGCAAGGAACACTCGGGGCTTTTGTTTACTGAACGGACAGGGCAGGACGAGGTCAGACCGTAGAGTCCTGATGGGCAGCCTAAGGGCCTGAGTTCTCTGCTGGAGCAGTGACCTGACCAAGATGACAGTTTGGTAAACCCAGTCATCTAACAGAACAGGGTGGGCTGACCAGAGGCAGAGGCCTAACTGGACCTGACCGTCACAGTCCCGGGTATGAGAAGAGGGCCTTCACCAAGGTCAGGCCCAGGCAACGGACACTCAGGGGTGAGGGTCCAACACACACCCAGGCTTGGTGACAGATCCGACAGAGGAGACTGAGGGGTGGGAGCAGGGGGGACGAACTCCATTCCAGGACTCCAGGTTCAAGCAAGTGTGAGAGTCACTGAGCAGAGACAGGGATCGAGGGGGATGGGGTTCTGTTAACGGGGGATGCGAGAAGAATCACTGTTCCCTAAACAAGCTGACTTCGAGATGACGGCAAGATGCTGAACCGGACCTCGGAAAAGAGGCTGGAGCTGACGCTGGGTGGCAGGAGACACGCATGCAGGGCAGGGAGCACGCCGCACTCGTGAAGGCACCTCCCGAGGAACACGGCAGGGGCACAGCCTCAGGGGCCCGGGGGGACCGGTGGAGGGGCAGCAGGAGGAGGCGGAGGCCACAGGGGCTCAGGAGGGTCGGGCCGTGAGGGGCTAAGGGCTCTGCAGCCCCACATCGTTACCGGCGAGCAGCCAGCAGTTATTCACCGCCTACAGGACACCAATTCTGAGGGAAAAACTCAAGAGTCAAAGGAGGGCCAGAGTTAAGGCTTATGCATCTGCGAAGGAGGGAGGCCGTGGGTCCGGGGCTCCGGCAGAGAAGCCTCTGAGAGAGAGACTCGGAAGGAGAGTCAAGGGCACACCGGGATGCGGAGAGGCACCAGGGTGGGGTCCAAAAATCGAGGCGCCTACTTGTATCGATTTCAGCCCCAAGAGGAGCCCCGGCTGAGGACAGGCAGAGAGGGTTTGTGGAGCGCAGTGCTTCCAATACTCTCTGTTCGAAAATCACTGGAATTTCTTCTCTGCCCCCAGGAACACCCAGTGGGTCGGCAGCTAGACTGGGACACTCCAAAGCCCCCCCTGCATCTGTGTGGGTGCCCGGGGAGGCCTCTCTCCAGGGGTCACAGCTTGACTGCTCAGCCAGCTGACTCCTCAACATGCCCTTAGTGGGAAATGGTCCGAGAATGAACGAGCGAACTGCTCGCTCTTGCGGAAAGCGCATGACCAGCTGATGGGGTGCAGCCGGGCCTCTCCAAGGCTCTGACGGATGGCCAGGCAGCCAGGGCACCGCCGGGCGTGGCAGGGCGATGGAGAGCCTCCAGTGCAGACCAGAGCAGCCTGCACACCGCAGCCGGCCTCTCCTCTGGGAGGCCAGAACAGGGCGGTGGCTTTGAAGCCATGACATGTACGTGAAGGCACCAGGCGACTCCAGGCCAGGGAAAAACATCTGCAGTAACAGCTGGTGTCCAGGGCCCAGTAAGACAGATGCGAGTTGAGGTGAACTGGTGGGGCCGCCACCCCTCCGCACGGGCTGGTGGCGACTGCTGCTGGCGACTGCTGCCGGGAGACAAGGGTGCTCCTGCTTGGGGACCGGAGTCTGGCACCCCCACATCGCCTCTCAAAGCACGGATCAGGCCAACAAACCACACTTCACTCCGCACGTCTTCTCATGAGTTCCTGCATTTGAGGCCATCAGTTCTCCCCCGCAGGCTGAGACCCACCCTGGGCACCTGTCAGAATGCCCACAGGAGCTCAGCTCCTCTGACTCATGAGCCAGTTTGAGGAGTTTAGGAGAGAAAAGCTGCCTCACTGCCAAGAAAATACAGTCCCACCGACGTGCCAGGCCAGCCAGAGTAAGGGACTGCTTGTATTTTACCTTTCAAAAGCTCTGTGAACCCTAAGAATGAATATGGAGCACCATACCTGTTTGAGTGTCAGACTGAACACATTCAGTTATTTTCTCAGCCTAAAAATGAATTTTAAAAGCCATTATTAGTCCTGCTCGCCTAGTCACACTATGAAGAAGTCTTGGGGGCGCGCCTGGGGCCGCGGGGGCTTCCCTTACATACCTTATTGTTGCCATTGCACACTCTGATAATGGACACATAGTGTCTAATTTTTCTGCAAGTAGAAAACAATGCATTATTTCTCTCCTGGCTCTCTGTTCTAGGGGTATGTAGCTAACTTTTCATTCTGAAAAGAGCATTTCTTTCACAATACCCAGAATGCTTTGAGGAGAGCATTTCTATCGTCTGTGACTGAGGCCACTGATAAACGAGCACGTCTGCCGTACGCTGGCGCCCCCTTAGGAATGAAGTCGGCTCTTTGGTAAAAACTAAACTTTTCCAAGTCATCATGACATATGATAAAAAAACACCTATGTTTAAAATATATACTACAGGTCAACCTACCAAAAGCCTTGAATTCCTTAACCTGTGTTCACGTTCACAACCCTTTATATTGATGCTCCTCTTCAAGCTCCAGGGAGCAGCGTGTCACAGTCCCTCACGGGGACAGCCGCCAGCCGTGCCGGGGCCGTGGTCCCATCTGACTTGGTCAATGAGGGCTCCAGGGCAAAGTCAGGGCTTGTCTCAGAAGCTGCTGACCCTCCCCACTTAGTATTATTCCTTCCAGTTTTCCTGTTTCTTCCCCTTGATAATCAAATCCCCATATACTTTTCACAAAAAATTTGGGAAGGACAAAAAAAGACAAAGGAGCAGAACACAGCCACACGGATCTGCCTTCCGAGGTGGCCGCCACCCAGCAGCAGAGCGTGCTGACCACGCGCGGGAGCCATGCAGTCAGGGCAGAGGTCTGCAGCCCGACCTGGGCCAGACGCCTCTCTAAGCCTCGGCTTCCTCATCAGTAAGATGGAGATGATGGGCACTGACGTCACAGGGCTGAGGTCAGCATGAAGTGCAGTGGCGTCTGTCCGCCAGGCCTGGGGAGCCTGCCCTGGGGGAGGGCGCGATGGACAGGAGCAGGGCCACCGACGACCACCAGCACCCCACCTCCTCCTGTTCTTTTCCCTTTTTCCATTTTCCTGATAGCGATCACACACTAGGTATGATTTTACATATTGATGTCTGCATTTATCATAAGCACTTTTCCTTATAATTATTATTCTATCTCATTTCTAACAGTTGCATATTTTATTGTTAGGCATTCTGTAATTCAAATTCATAATTTTTCACCACTCATATTTTATGAGAGCTTCCATGGTCGTATTCAAAACATGTGTCTCATTTGATAGGTCTAGGAAGAAATAACAGGCTATCAAATTGGACAGAACTCTTTTAAACAAAGCAAGTGTTCTTAACACACAGCTTAATAAAGTGACTACTTAACAAGTGACTTTACAGAATTCTGATTCAAATACGGTGTCTCTTCTGCATCCATGCAGCGCAAGCAAGATCCTTTGGCACCTGGTGGCTCTGGGTCAGGCTACAGCCATGAGGTGGCCACCCTCGAAGGCCCACCTTTGGTGACATCTGACAAGTCTCTAAGTTCTGCAGGTGGGCCTTAACTAGTCAAAGCACATTCTGCATGAAGCCAAGCAGGTTTGGCAGCTGACATGCGTGCTCCCCACTTACCCTCCCTGTCCAAGGACAGGTATTATCTTCACATTTTGCTGTATGTTATCTCCATTTTTCTTCTTGGCATGGTAAATTCCTTGCCACTCCTACAAACAGAACATAAATGTCAATACTTTGTGTCCAAACCACAAACCCAAGAACACTTTCCATGTCCAGTTCCAAATGATTTCCCACTGCTACACCAATCGGGGTAGAAAGTTACCCCAATCCCGGCCACAATTTTGGGTAATCTGACAATTCCTTCTCAGCCTCCCAAGCCCGCCTCCTCTGAGGTTGCAGACAAGAGCCAGGTCAGCCACAGACTGAGTGGTCTGTTTCAGGGGCTCTCTGCTGGCAAAGAGGCCTGGGCCCACAAATGAAGAGCAGGCCTCCCTTCAACACACAACACAGCTTCTTCTGCTCCCGGCTCCCTCCTGCTGCCCTGAGTGGGTAGCATGGCCTCTGCCCCTGAATTTGGGAGAAGGGAGAATCTGAGAGGGGGCAGAGGAGGGGCCATTCTGGGGCCACTGGCACGGTGGGCTGCTACCAGCCTCTGGGATGTGTGAGGGTGTCGGGCTCTCAGCAGGTGAGGTGGGGATGGTCGGGTAACAGCCAGGACTATGCTCATGTAGCGCAAGCAGGCGAGGCCCTAAAGGCCAGGCTGCAGCTGCATTAGCTCTGCTCACACATAGAGGGGTTCTTGTAGAATGAACTGCAGCCTGGGAGAGCAGGGATGTGTGGGATGTGACCACAGCAGGAGAGCAGGGGCTGCACCCCACTCTTGGGGCACGGGGGTGGCCTGGGATGGACCTGGGTTTTGTCACTACTGAAAAGGTTCTGAATTCCTCCAAGAGTCACCAAGTCCCTAAGCTGTGAAATCCCTAATAGCCACTGTAGGACACGGAATCTCTAGGGTGTTCCAGGACCTCGACCTCCCAGGGTCCCTCAGGCCTTGGAGCTGACCCAGGCAGGAATGGGTCAGCACGGCAGCCTTGGTAGCTTAGTTCAAGTCTCCCATCCAGACCCTGTATGAGGTCAGTCCTGAAATCTGAGCTTGGCGCGTGGCAACCTGCAGGCAAATGCCAACAGTAAAATCTGCTGGTCTTCCAACCCCTCTGGGAAAGTGGCTCCGTGAAAACCCAGGAGGCTCCGGCCGAGCATGGGACGGCTACTGCCGTTTCCTGGTGCGCTGAAAACAATGGGCGCCAAGAAAGGCTTGAATCAAAGAGCAGCCAGAGGACCAGCTCGGTGCCCACTCAGCCGGGCTTCTGACGAGCCGAGGCAGTTCCTTCTTGGTGCCCATTGTCTCAGGAATTAAATCATCGCCACCAGGCTGTCCTATCGCCAGGGCTGGCACAGCGCTGCACGCAGTAAACAGGCAAGGAACACTCGGGGCTTTTGTTTACTGAACGGACAGGGCAGGACGAGGTCAGACCGTAGAGTCCTGATGGGCAGCCTAAGGGCCTGAGTTCTCTGCTGGAGCAGTGACCTGACCAAGATGACAGTTTGGTAAACCCAGTCATCTAACAGAACAGGGTGGGCTGACCAGAGGCAGAGGCCTAACTGGACCTGACCGTCACAGTCCCGGGTATGAGAAGAGGGCCTTCACCAAGGTCAGGCCCAGGCAACGGACACTCAGGGGTGAGGGTCCAACACACACCCAGGCTTGGTGACAGATCCGACAGAGGAGACTGAGGGGTAGGAGCAGGGGGGACGAACTCCATTCCAGGACTCCAGGTTCAAGCAAGTGTGAGAGTCACTGAGCAGAGACAGGGATCGAGGGGGATGGGGTTCTGTTAACGGGGGATGCGAGAAGAATCACTGTTCCCTAAACAAGCTGACTTCGAGATGACGGCAAGATGCTGAACCGGACCTCGGAAAAGAGGCTGGAGCTGACGCTGGGTGGCAGGAGACACGCATGCAGGGCAGGGAGCACGCCGCACTCGTGAAGGCACCTCCCGAGGAACACGGCAGGGGCACAGCCTCAGGGGCCCGGGGGGACCGGTGGAGGGGCAGCAGGAGGAGGCGGAGGCCACAGGGGCTCAGGAGGGTCGGGCCGTGAGGGGCTAAGGGCTCTGCAGCCCCACATCGTTACCGGCGAGCAGCCAGCAGTTATTCACCGCCTACAGGACACCAATTCTGAGGGAAAAACTCAAGAGTCAAAGGAGGGCCAGAGTTAAGGCTTATGCATCTGCGAAGGAGGGAGGCCGTGGGTCCGGGGCTCCGGCAGAGAAGCCTCTGAGAGAGAGACTCGGAAGGAGAGTCAAGGGCACACCGGGATGCGGAGAGGCACCAGGGTGGGGTCCAAAAATCGAGGCGCCTACTTGTATCGATTTCAGCCCCAAGAGGAGCCCCGGCTGAGGACAGGCAGAGAGGGTTTGTGGAGCGCAGTGCTTCCAATACTCTCTGTTCGAAAATCACTGGAATTTCTTCTCTGCCCCCAGGAACACCCAGTGGGTCGGCAGCTAGACTGGGACACTCCAAAGCACCCCCTGCATCTGTGTGGGTGCCCGGGGAGGCCTCTCTCCAGGGGTCACAGCTTGACTGCTCAGCCAGCTGACTCCTCAACATGCCCTTCGCCCTGGGGAGGCTCCTGAGGACGCCACATATCCTTCCACCTGGAAAACTGACCAGCCAAGCAGCCTGTCCTACAGGTGTGGCAAGCAAACCTGCAGGTTCCTGGCAAAGGTCAGAGGCCATTTCCCACTCCCCCAAGAACGCCACAATGTGCAAGACAAACCACCGTGTTCCATGTTGAGATGAAGCAGTACGGAGGTTGATAATATCATATTTATTATATTCTCTCCTCATAATAAGCAGATTTTAGAGAACAGGTCTCCTGCTGTTCGAGTCCGAGGCCCTCTGTACCTGGTGCTCAGGAAGATGGTCCCTGTTCACGTGGATCTGGACAGAACCCAGGGCCCCCAGCTACTCCGCTGAACTCCGCCCCCTCTCCCTGCGCTCACCTCGGCAAGGGGAGCCCCAGTGCCTCCCTGCAAGGGCTGCCTGATCAAGGTGCCCAAGGGCTGCCATCTCCTGCTCACAACAGAACGCCTGGCCACCCCAGTGGAGCCAGGGACCGAAAGGCCACGGTGAAGCCCCTCGGGGCGGCGGGGTCTGGGGGGGGCCGCTGCTCCACAGCCACCTCCTGACGTGCCCCCCAGGTCCTAGGTGGGGTGCCTGAGCACCCCATGGTCTTCACTGGTCTCAGCCTTCATCTGTCTTTCCAGAGGACAGTCTCTTTCTAGTAAGATCATCTCCCTCAACAGAGAAGCTAAAGAACAAGCAGGATCTGCGCGGGGCTGCCGTGGGCTCTTCCCCTGCCAGCACATCACCAGCCCCTCGCAGCCAGCCTGCTTCTCCCTGGTTTTCACCGCGAGGCTCTCTGCAGAGCACAGAGCCATGGGGGAGAGGAGGGCCAGGGGTCCACTCTCGACGCTCTCAAGGGGCCCAAGGGAGTGGGGGCAGAAGCTCTGCACAGCCCTCTGACCCTCCGGCAGACTCAGCAGAGGACTGGCACGCGCCACGGGGCAGAGGGAACCACTTCACGGGGGCCTGCGAGAGTGGGCAGAGCAGGCGACCCAACTTTTCAAGTGTTTTGAATAATCACGTTAACAGTCTTTCCCCAATTTGTAAAAGTTACAAAGAGCCCAGCAGAAAGCACCATGAGAAGCAGTAGCCTAGTCCTTCTCATCATATTTTCAAACCTAACGAGAGCGAGGTGCTGTCCAAAGCCGCTGTTCAGAGAACTGCTCAGACACAGCCCTCCCGTCTGCCCCTTCCGCGCCACGGCCGGGCGACGTCTCACGGAACCGTGCCGTGGCTCCCTCTTTCTGTTTTGCACCCTGAAATATGAATTCTCTAAGGCAGGAATTCTTGTTTTGCTCTTCTTTCTGTACCAGAATCCAGCAGAATCCATCCAGGAGGCGGTCAAACAATGCTGAATGAATGGGTGAGGCTCAGGGAACTCCTGGCCCTGATGTGTTCTCAGAATGTGTCCCTTCACTGGCGATCCTGTGCCCGGAACCATTTGCCAGCATCCACCACTTAGAAAACGGTAATTAGAAAGATCAACTTACTACAAAGGTGAGAACAATGATTTTAAGTGTCAAAGTTGTTCTGGCTTGTTGACTTAAGATGTATTTTCTTGGTCTCAGTGTCCTCCTCTGCAAAATGGGAGTGACGGGGCTGAGCCGCCTACATTTCCCAGGGCTTCTGGGACGAGAGAGACCGAGACCACCCGGCGCGGGTGCAGCTCAGCGAGCACTAAGTCCCCTTCCTTTCCTTCGGGTCAAGGGAAAGTAAAAGAGGGCACCGCCGGCTCACTCACCTTGCCTATCCTGATGCACGAATTTACAGTTTCAAGCAGATCGGCCTTTTTTTCATTCACAGGTGCTTCCGCTAACTCCTTCCCTATTAATTCACCTGCCTGATAGCCCATCGTGGATTCAAATGCAGGATTTGCATACTGGGGAGAAAAAAGAAGAACATCAAGTGAATCAGAAGAAATTTGGAAAGAGGACAGCTAAGGGTGGGTGTTGGACCTAAGCCACCCTATTTTTTCCCCAGAAAGCTCAGGAGCCTAGAGCTCACCACGGCGGCTCCAGAGCTGCAAGAGCACAAGCCCAGAAGCAGCCTGGAGGCCAGAGAAGCTGCTGCTCCCCTGACGAGGGGCTGGGCTTGCTGCGTGTTCTCCTGAGGCCCCAGGGAGGGCCAGGCCCGCTGCACTTTCACACCAGGTCAGGAAGGAGGCCACGTGGAGCAGACCCAGGGCTGTGCCAGAAGGCTGCTTAGCTGGCGACACAGTGGAATAAAGCCCCATACTGCCGGGCTGAGGCTCCCCGGCTTCGTTCCTGTCTGGCACTTACGCCCTCTCCAAGTCTCTGTGCATTTTTAATGAGAATGAGACATTTATCCCGCCTCTCTCAAATGAAACACATGAATAATGCATTTGGAAAGCAGGTTATAACTTGTACATATTTACAAATGTAAGGCTTTATGATTAAATTTCTAGAAGAGTAGAAGAAAATGTATAGGAGAGCTGTGTGTGTGTGTGCTAATAACAACAAATGAGGATAAAACCACAATCGATATTGTTTAAGAGCCGTTTTCTTTGCTACACACAAAAGCAAGCACGAGCTCATTACGAGAAAGGTCGGCTGCTGTTAGCATTAGTATTATTCCCATTTGTACAAAGGAGAGAGCAGATTCAGAAAGACTAAGTAACTTGCCCAATGATGCTCAGCTAGGACTGCCCTGCCTGGGTGTCCGAGGCCGACTGGGACCTGGGCCTGTCTGACACCAGGCCTGCATCCTCAACCACAGGCCTCTCAGGGCACCAACTCTCGAGTGTCGACATCGTCATCTCTTTACCAAGAAAGTAACAAGTTAGATTAAAGTGAAGGACTCAGTGCTCAGAACTAAACTCAGAGTGGAGCTGATTCTCAGACAAAAGGCACACTTTCCTGGTGCAACCCCCTCTTCTGCTGTTATCTAGAAAGTACAGGCCATGTTATCTTAAGTCACTTATATCAGCCCATTTTGCTAATAATGGGAAATTTATTCAGCAATTACTAGGTTATTTTTGAAATTTTGCATAGTTGCTAGTAAATTTATATCATGTAAACTAGCTTCAAAAACGGTGCAAGAGGTGAGGGCCTGCAGGTCCTATGGTCAGAGCCTTCTCCCATTGCAAAGTCCCTCCCCGCTGGCCCCAGGAATAATCTTTTTGGATGAAAGTCTCTCCTTGCTAAATAAATAAGCAAACAAAAAGCAACAAGTAAAAAATGCAAAAAACAAGTAAAAAAAGCAACAAGTAAAAAATGCATGTTTTCTAGGACCTTAAGTACTTATTAGTATCTTTTCTTACCTATAGGAAACTTATTCATAGATTACGTGAAATAAACCTATTTTATACATTTTTGCTCTGATGATCCTCTTAAGAAAATTGGTCTACTGAACTTCAAAAAGAAAAAAAAAATCACAGTGGGAGGGGTTCAATCCTAAAAATGAGAACAAACAAAACCGGAATCCCAGAAGGGCAAACTTGCCAAACACACACCTGTACAATGCGGTCTTCGCTTGTGATTTCAATCGCTTCCTGACTTTTCTCTAATGCCGTGAACACTGAGTTACAGGCCCTTTATGGTAGGAAAAAAAGGACTGATTAATGTCAATCTTTCAAAACCTAGTACACTCTTGGAGCATTACATCAGCTTATTTAAATGTGTTCTTTCATTTGACTGTTAAAGTAACAGCCGCTAACTCCAGAAGAGAAGGGGCAAAACTAAACGGCACAGGGGGGAGAGCCTCCTGCCATTGGGCTGTGTGGAGCGACTGGAGCCCAGCGCCTGCCCTTGCAGCCTGAGGCCGGGCTTGCTCAGGCCACGGCCCTGCGCCCGTGGTGGGCCCTGGGCGCGCGGGGGAACCTCCCTGCGTCTCCCTCCTCCCACCTGAAGGGCCCTCTGAGGACTACCCCTGAGCAGAGCCTGCTGGGAAGGAGGCAGGCAGTCGTCCCCAGCAATTATTTTACTGTATTTCACTGTATTTTTTATGTAAGAATTTTTATTTGGAATGACGAATTACAATTTACAAACTTAAAAAAATGATAAATACCATAATCACAAAAAAACCCAGAAAACGAATTATTTTTATTAATGAAGCACCTAATACATAACTAACTGTAAGACATTTATCCCTATGTATCTGGCAGTCCAATCTTTGCCTATTTTTAATTATCAGAAAGATAATTAAATCCTTTTTATTGAGGTATAATTGGCATACAATATTCTATTAGTTCCATGTATACAACAGCAATTTGACATTTGTATACACTGAAAACTGGTCATCACAATCAATCTAATTACCATCTGCCACCGTACAAAGTTAATACAGTATCATTGACTGTACGTCCCATGCTGTACGTTACATCCCCATGACTTATTTTGCAACTGGAAGCTTGGACATCTTGATTCCCTTCATCCATTCCGTATCCCCTCCAAACCCCTTTCTCCTCCAGCAACCAGTACTCTGTTCTCCGTTACCTGTGAGTTTTGTTTTGATTTTTAGAGCCTACTTGTAAGTGAAATCATGAGGTATTTTGTCTTTGTCCATCTGACTTATTTCACTGAGCATAATAGTCTGAAGGTCCATCCATGTTGTTGCAAATATAACATTTCATTCTTTTTCTGGCTGAGTAATAATATTCCATTGGTGTACGTACCACATCTTCTTTATCCATCTATTGATGGACATTACGTTGCTTCCCTATTTCGGTTATTGTAAATAATGCTGTTCGAACTGCTGTTTCTGTTTTCTTCAGAAGTGGAACTGCCAGACCACATGGTGGCTCTATTTTTAATTTTTTGTAGAACCCCTATACTGTTTTCCATAGCGGCTGCACCAGTTTACATTTCAACTGACAGTATAGGACAGTTCCCTTTTTCCCACATCCTCTCCAACACTTGAGACTTCTTATCTTTGATAATAACCATTCTAAAAGGTGTGGGGTAATTATCTCACTGTGGTTTTTGATTTGCATTCCCTGGTTATTAGTGATGTTAATCAACTTTTCATGTGCCTGTTGGTTATCTGTATATTTTCTTTGGAAAAATGTCTATTTAGATACTCTGCCCATTTTTTAATCAACTGTTTTTTGTTAGTGAGTTGCATTAGTTCTTTACATATTATGGATATTAACCCCTTATCAGTTATATGACTTGCAAATATTTCCCCCATTTAGTAGGTTGCCTTTTCATTTTATTGATGAATTCCACTGCTGTGCAGAAGCTTTGTGGTTTGATGTAATCCCATTTGTTTATTTTTGTTTTTGCCTTGGAATCAGATCCAAAAAAACATCACTAAGATTAATGTTGAGGAGCTTACCATCTGCTTTCTTTTAGGAGTTTTATGGTTTCAGGTCTTACATTCAAATCTTTAATCCATTCTGAGTTAACTTTCGCATGTGGCATAAGATGGTCCAGTTTTCCCAACACTATTTATTGAAGAGACTGTCCGTCTCCCCTTTGGACATTCTTGCCTCCTTTATCATAAATATTAATGGCCGTATATGTGTGCATTTATTTCTGGGCCTCTCTATTCCACTGATCCGTGTCTGTTTTTATGCCAATACCATACTGTTTTGATTATTACAGCTTTGTAGTATATTCTGAACTCTGGGCACAACAATACCCTAGCTTTATTCTTTCTCAAGACTGCTTTGACTATTCAGGGTCTTTTGTAATTCCAAAAAAATTTTGTAATTATTTGTTCTACTTCTGCAAAAAATGCCATTAGAATTTTGGTAGGGATTGCATTCAATCTATAGATCATACTGGGCATATGGCCATTTAATTCTACCAATCCATGAGTAAGCTACATCTTTCCATTTATTGTGTCATCTTTAATTTCTTTCACCAATGTCTTAGAGTTTTCAGAGTACAGGTCTTTCACCTCCTTGGTTAAAGTTATTCTTAGGCATTTTATTCTTTTTAATGCAATTGTAAATGGGATATTCTTGATTTCTTCTGATAGTTTGCTATTAGAAATGCAACAGATTTTTGTATTTCAATTTTGTGTCCTGCAACTTAACTGAATTCATTAGTTCTAATAGCTTTTTGGTGGAGTCTCTATGGTTTCCTATGTATATTATTTCATCTGCAAACAGTGATAATTTTACTTTTTCCTTTCCAATTTGGATGCCTTTTGTTTCTTGCCTAACTGCCGCAGCTAGACTTCCAATACTGTGCTGAGTCAAAAGAGGGAAGAGCGAGCATTCTTGTCTTCGTGATCTTAGAGGAAAAGCTTTCAGTTTTTTACCATTGCACGTATTAGCTGTGGCTTGTCATAGATGGCCTTTATTATACTGAAGTATGTTCCTTGTTTACTCACTTTTTTGAGAGTTTTTGTCATAAATTGATGTTGAATTTTGTCAAATGCTTTTTCTGCATCTATTGAGATGATCATATGATTTTTATCTTTCATTTTGTTAACGTGGTATATATCACACCAATCAATTTGTAGATTGATCCTTGCATCTTTGGAATCAATTCCACTTAATCATGCTGTATGATCTTTTTAAGTATATTGTTGAATTTGGTTTGCTAATATTTTGTTGAGGATTTTTGCACCTACGTTCGTCACAGATACTGGCCTGTACTCTTCTATTTTTGTGGAGTCCTTGTCTTGTTTTGGTATCAGGGTCACACTGATCTAAAAAATGTTTGGAAGTATTTCCTCCTCTTCAGGTTTTGAGAATAGATGAGGACAGGTATTCAATCTTCTCTTGAGTGTTTGGTAGAATTCACCAGGGAAGCCATCTGATCCGGGCATTTTGTTTCTTGGAAGGTTTTTGATTACTGACTCAATCTTCTTGCTGGTAATTGATCTATTCAGATTTTCTATTTCTCCATGATTCAGGCATCTAAGATTGTATGTTGCTAAGAATTTATTAATTTATTCAAGGCTGTCCAACTTGTTGGAAAATGATTATTCACAGAAGTCTCTTTGATCCTTTGTATTTCTGTGGTAGCAGTGGTAACTTCTCTTTCCTTTCTGATTGTATTTATTTGAGCTCTCTTTTTTCCTTGGTGAGTCTAGCTAAAAGTTTGTCAATTTTTAAAATATTTTCAAAGTACTAGCGCTTAATTTCGTTGATCTTTTCTACTGCCTTTTTAGTCTCTATTTCATTTATTTCTGCTCTGATCTTTATTATTTCTTTCCTTCTACTAGCTTTGGGTTTGTTCTTTTTTTCCTAGTTCTTTAAGGTGTAAAGTCAGATTATTTAAGATTTTTCTTGTTTCTTGAGGTGGGTCTTTATTGCGATGAACTTCCCCCTTAAGATCACTTTTGCTGTATCACAGATTTTGGTATGTTGTATTTCTCCTTCATTTATCTCTAGGTATTTTTTTATTTCTCTTTGGATTTCTTCAGTGACCCACTGGTTGTTCAGCAGCATGTCATTTTATCTCTACATTTTTGTAGTTTTTCCAGTTTTCTTGTAATTGATTTCTAATTTCATACCATTGTGGTTAGAAAATATGCTTGATATGATTTCAGTCTTCTTAAATGTATTGAGACTTGTTTTGTGGCCTTACATGTGATCTATCCTGGAGAATCTTGCATGTATACTTGAGAAGAATGTGTATTCTGCTGCTTTTGGATAGAATGTTCTGTATGCATCTATTATATCCATCTGGTTTAATATGTTGGTTAATTAAAGCTGATGTTTCCTCATTTTCTGTCTAGATTATTGATCCATTGATCTAAGTAGGGTATTAAAGTCCTCTGCTATTATTGTATTACTATCAATTTCTCCCTTTAGGGCTGTTAATATTTGCTTTATATATTATATTTTGGTGCTTCTATGTCAGGAGCACATGTAAATGTTATATCGTCTTGCTGGGTTGACCCCTTTCCTTTATTGTTATGTAATGCCTTTCTTGGCCTTCTATTACAGTCTTTGTTTTAAAGTCTCTTTTGTTTAATATGATAGATACACCAGTTTTCTTTTTGTTTCCATTTGCATGGGACATCTTTATCCATCCGTTCCCTTTCAGTCTGTGTGTCCTTACTTCTGAATTGAGTCTCTTTTAGGGAGCGCATAGATGAGTTCTGTTTTTTTTTTATCCATCCAGCCATTCTGTGCCTTTTGATTGGATAATTCAGTCCATTTACACTAAATTAATTTTTGATAGGTATGTACTCATTGTCATTTTGTTTTTCTAGCTGCTTTTTCCATTCCTCTCTGTTCCTTTGTTCTTCTCTTTTTCTTTCTGGTTTGATAACTTTCTTTAGTGCTATGTTTAAATTCCTCTCTCATTTTCTTTTATACATTTGCTATAAGGTTTTGCTTTTGTGGTTACTGTGAAGTTTGCATATATTGTCTTAAATATATAATAGTATTTCTAAGTTAACAAATTTAAATTTGAACACATTCCCAAACTATTTTTACTACTCCCACTCACATTTTGTTTTTGATGTCAAATTTTACACCTTTTAAAAATGTATCTTTTAACTAATTATTGTAGCTTTACTACTTTTATCTGTTGACCTTCATAGTAGGCTTTGTAATTAACCTACTACTTTTATTATATATTTACCTTTCCAGTGAGATTTTTACTTTTGACAGTTTTCTTATAACTAGTGTCATTTCTTCTCAGCTCAGAAAAGTTCCTTTAACATTTCTTGGAAGGCTGGTTTAGTGGTGATGAAATCCTCTGGCTTTTGCTTATCTGGGAACCCATTCTTCCCTTCTATCCTGAATCTTGCTGAGTAGAGTATTCTTGGTTAGAAGTTGTTTTTTTTTTTTTCCTTTCAGCCCTTTGAAAACATCATGCCACTCCCTTTTGACCTGAAAAGTTTCTGCTGAAAAATATGTAGATAGCCTTATGGGGTCTCCCTTATATGTAATAAGTTGTTTTAATGCTTTTGAGATTCTGTCTTTTACTTGATATTTTAATCATAATGCATCTTGGTGTGGATCTCTCTGGGTTCATCTTATTTAGAACTCTTTCGGTTCCTGCATCTGGATATCTGGTTCCGTCCCCAGATTAGGTTAAGTTTCCAGCCATTGTATCTGCAAATATGTTTTCTGCCCCTTTCTCTCTCTTCCCCTTCCAGGCCCCCATAATGGAGATGCTATTCCAACTGACATTGTCTCATAGGTCCCGCAAGCTTCTTCACTTTTAAAATTCCTTTTTCTTTTTACTGCTCTGTCTGGGGGAGTCCCATGGCCCTGCGTTCCCCCTCACTGATCTATTCTCCTGCTTCATCAGGTCTGCTGTCCAACTCCTCTAGCGTACTTTCCAGTTATTATATTCTCCAGTTCTATGACTTCTATTTGATGTTTTCTTTATTTTCTATCTCTTTGTTGACTTTCTTGCTCCATTCATCCATTTTTCTCCTGACTTTGGTTTGCATTTTTACAACCATTACCTTGAATTCTTTATTCAGTAGACTACTTATCTCCATTTCATCATTGTCTTTTTCTGAGGTGTTGTCTTGTTCTTTGGTTTGGAACATATTCCTCTGTCTCCTCATTTTGCCTGTGTTTGTTTCTATAGATCAGGTGAAACAGCTACTTCTCCCAGTCTTAAAGGAGTGGTCTTCTGTAGACGACCGACCCATGGGGCCCAGAAATGCAGCCCCCACTGGCGTGGGAATAAAGCAAGCCCACAGGCAACCATCCACCTCAAGCTCCCTCACAAAATCTGGCAACACAAAGGAGCTCCTCCGTATACCTTCCGAGCCCAGAACCACCTCCACACAGCAGTACCCAGGCACTTCTTTGCTACCTTCATTCACAGTCCTTGGCGCACTGCACTTTCTTTCTCCTATAAAGTGCTTTTCTTCCCTGCATGCAGGATCCTGGGCTGGTCCCTACCAGTCTTAATACTCCAAAATTCTGATCTCCTTTCCTCTGACTTAGGCATATACAAACAGAATGATTTTATTCTCTCTTCGATCCCTGGTAAGGAAAATGTTAAAGAATAGAACACCCAAGGTAGAAACCTCGGATGACAGAAAGCTGCTGACTTTTTTCTTCTTCTGTTAAATTCATGTAACTTTACTAATTTTTCTCCTTTTCTTGCTCTACAGGGACCCAGGTTCTACTCATTTCACTTAAAAAAAAAAAAAAGCAACTTTATCAAGAGCAAATTACAAAATGCTTATTGTAGAGAAAACATACCACCTACCAGAGATAATGTTAACAGGTTGGATGTGTGTATAGATTACAAGGGTTTTTTTCCCCCTTAAAAAATAAAATAGATAACTCAGTATATACACTTCTATATCCTGCTTTTTCATCTACTATTATTTTGAAGCCCCATCTTCAGATGTGAGACTCCAATCACTAACATGACCACTTGTTAGGCAACAGGCAGACTCCAAAAGTCTGTATCAGGAGAGGCACCACCCCTCTACCCCATTCCATCTTAGCAGGAGGTCAGTTACGGCCAAAAGGTAGCTGCCCACAACCAAAGGTCTCACTTGCAGCGCCACACTGCATGGCATGGCGGGCCTCCTGGAGCAGCAGCATTACCTGAGTTTTAGCTGCGATCGCACCTCTCCAAACTCCAGCTGCAGCAGTTCGTTGTAACAGGCCATGAGACTGGGGTTTTCCACATACCTCTATAAACACAAAGGGGATTTTGTGGATAAACATACACGCACCTTTAAATTATTATGTATATCAATAAAAAATTATTCTTTTCAACAGACTTCTCATTTTAGTAACTGAAATCCAAAAAATACTTTATTTGTAATGATGAACAGGAAATAAGATGAAAATTTATGGGTACCAAATTAACTTTTCACTCTTACAGCACTAAACTAAGTTTTCTACCTTTATCTTGCATCTACCTACCACTTCAGCATTTTATTAAAAATAATAATAATAATAGTAATAATAATAAGGGAGAAATGTGGGATTCACATATAAATCAAGTATAAAAATCAAATGAATAATCATAATTGACCTGATTGTTTATAGTTCATGATGAGTGATCAAAACCAAAAGTTTCTGTGATGACTGCCCTTGTACTGTTCACCATGTAAGAACTTGTTCACCATGTAAGAACTTGTTCGTTATGCTTCAGAAGATTGGAGACTGTTGAGAATTAGGCATGGGGTTGATTAATGATTGTGCATTGAGTCCCCTATACAGAATTCTATTGTTGTTAACAACCATATGATCAATAAATATGAGAGATGCCCTCTCAAAAAAAAAAAAAAACAGGGCCTCAGAATGCTTGTCTTTCAGTGCCTTAATGTAAGAGGATTAGGGTTGTCTGTGTGTCACTAGCAGAGACTAGACTATATAAAAGGAAGAAATGTATTAACTGAAGTCCTATTTATATTAACTTTCAGAGTATATTCACTTATTCAAGAGCAGTGTTTTATCCTCTGACCTGGGGGGAAGGAGGGGAGACTTCTGGCCTAGTGCCTGTGCCACTACCAGCAGACCACGGTGGGGGACTTGAAGTGGACAGGCGCCCACAGCTTTCCGAGGGCTTAGCTGGCCTCACCTGCTCTGAGGGGGAATCCTGGGACATGGAGACACGTGCATTTCTATAGTTCAACAAATGGCCTCCCATGCATGCAACCAGATTTCTCATCAGGTAAGAATGTGTATATCCAAACCTTTTTACCCCATAGGCGGAGATCAAGGTTAAAAATAAAGCAGACAAGCAGACTCACAGAACCCAAGAATGGACTAACCTTTACCAAAGGGAAAGGGACTGGGGAGGATGGATGGAAAGGGAGGGACAAGGGGGAAAAGGGGGCATTATGATTAGCAGACTTAATGGGGGGGGGCACGGGGAGGGCTGTGCAACACAGAGAAGACAAGTAGTGACTCCACAGCATCTCACTACGCTGACGGACAGTGACTGTAATGGGTATGTGGGGGGACTTGATGATGGGGGGAGTCTAGTAACCATAATGCTGCTCATGTAATTGTAGATCAATGATACAAAAAAAAATTAAGCAGACATAACTAAACATACAGCGCCTTGCTCCCAGGGTCTGCCCCGCTGCCTCTGCTTTGCTCTGTGTGTCTCAACATCATTTCTTTACTGCTCTTCTCCAACTTCCATTTATGTCTCAAGGATTCCACAAGGCATGGAGAGTAGAGAAGGCAATAGATCCTCCAGAAACAAGCTGCTATTCCCTCTGCTTAAAGAGCAGCCAGGCAGCTAGGCTCCTCTCCCCAGCCCAACCTACCTCCCCTTGTCGTGAAAGGGCTGGGACCCATGCCTGCCGACTCCTGAGCCTATCACACCCACTTTGCTGGGCCCCACCCAGTGGTTCTCAACTTGGCTGCATTATCAGAATTACCTGCAATCTTAAAACACAATACCAACATGCAGGTCCCTGAAAACACCAAGTGAAACAGGCTCTCTAGGGGAGGAGTTTTCCAGGGGATTCTAATACATACGTGGTGTTGAGAGAGACCACACCCTAGACTGAGATTTAGGCAGCAAGCGCTCACCGGCCACCAAGTCTGACTAAGGAGATAAGCAGGTCTCCAGCCACCCTGAAGTCCTGCACTGACTGGCGCCTGAACAGCAGAGACCTCACGGTAGTGTCAGCCTTCAGGTCTAGGGCAGGGCTCCAGCCGCAGCACCACTGCCAACTAGCCAGGGAACTTGGGAGAAGCAGCCTCCCTCTGGGTCTAGAAGCTCCGCCGTCACCTTGGCTTCCTTTAGCTACAGAAGGTACAGGAGTCCGCGCGAGAAGATCAGTGAGCACGTGTGGGCTCTGAGAACTGGTCATCCGCGTGTACGTGTCACCTACGGAGTGGAGAGCCTGAGCCACACACCTCTGACGCCTACCTGAAGCTTCTGTGCTGTTTGTGGGGACACGTACCTGAAAGTGCTTCCAGAAAAGGCTTCAAAGGACCCCTGGATGCAGCGGGTTGGGTAAGAGGCAGGGAAAGTGGGTGCCAATTATTTCTGAATTTCCAAGTTAGCTTCATGATGACTCAATCATACCAAGCAGATAGAAGGACCGTGGCTGACTAGACCTTCCTCCAGGAGACTTTCCAGGCCACGAAGCTGTGCTGATATATTTCCTTATGCAGAATTCAAACCCAGCTCTTACCAAACACGCAAATTCCCGACAGTGCATCTGTGCCCTTTCAAAGAGACCTCGTGCCTCTAGGTCAGCCAACGACCAAGGCAGGCGAATAATCTATTGTACAAGTTTCACCAGCAAGTGGATGCTTCTAAGGTCTTTGTTAAAAAGAAAGCCAGTTTTGCAGCCTAAGAGTAATGATATAAAGATCCCCAAAGTTACCCGGGAAAGTTCCTTTGCTGGTGTGAATGCTTCCCATGCAGCTTAAGGGGGGCAAGATCTAGGATCTACTAGGAACAGGTGATCTACAGCCTCCAGCCTGGGCACCTGTACTTGAGAGATCACTCCCCTTCGCACTGGCTAACACGGTTATCCTCATACGATTTAACATAGATTACTGGAGCTCAGGGAATGGGGTAGGTGTTGAAATGTGTGTAACTATGAGGACTGTCAAAAAAGGAGGGGAACCACAGAACTATGTAGCAAGAATACCCTGTGTGCTTTCTATGTAAAATTGGGTGTGTGTCTGATGGACAGTGATTGCACTGGGGTATGCTGGGGGGACTCGATAATAAGGGCGAATGTAATAACCACATTGTTTTTCTTGTGAGACCTTCATAAGAGTGTACATCAATGATACCAATAAAAAAAAAAAAGAAAAAAATTGGGTGTGTGAAAAGTGAAATCCTAAATTCCACCTTATCTGGTCATACTGGAATTCCTGTGTTCCTTCTGTCTGTACTTTTGTAACTCAATCTGACAATCTACCCTTTAATTGGACAATTCAGCCCATTCACTTGCACTTGATTTTATCTCCTCCTATCTTACTTTGCGTTTATGTCTGATTTCACACTGTTCTTTTCCTCTTCCTTGTGTCTGTCAGTTTGATCAATTTGCTGTAAACTCCGTATTTCCTCTTGTTAACTTGGAAGTTTTATCAGTTTCTGTTCTATTAATGGTTACCTTCCTTTTCACTGATCTCAAAAGCAAAGATTCATTAGTACTATTTGAAAACAGGATACCAATTACCCCCAGAACAAAGTATCTCCCACAGAGTGATGCTCTAATCTGCCCATGTGCCACAAAAATAAAAATCTCACAACACTCCCACTGCCCGACCCCTCCCACGCCGGCTAGATAAGGACATGAGGCTGCTTCGGCGTCTACTTCCTCCCCACAAACCTTGAGGACAGAGGGTTTGTTAAAATAGTCCAAAATTTAAACCCTGAGCTTTTATTAAAACTTGTCTTTCGGCACATCCGTTTTGCTAGAGGAGTATTATATATCCCCGTCAGTATTTTTCCATTCAGGTCTAGCTTTATACATAGCTAGATAGATATATCATATTTTATGTATCATGTGATATTTAAAGATACATAACAGAGAGGAAAAAAAAGGAAAGCGGGAGAGAGGGAGGCGGGGAGGCGCGAGGCGGGACCGCTGCTCACCCTGCCTCTCCGCGCAGTGCTCCCTCCCCTTACGGTTCCTGTTCTAGTTCATTCGTTGTGTGCTTGGAGTCCTTCCTCAATTACGGTCCTCGGACAGGGCCCTAGCGGGGGGATAGCTGAGCTGTGTGTATACCCCGGAGGGGGTAACTGTGCCCTGAAGGGGGGATGCCAGCCCAGCCGGGTGCCTGGTTCTCGGGCTGGAGTTCTCTTCTGGCTGTGATCTCTGATCAGACGAGACATCATCGTTCGTTTAGTACAGTAAATACTTGTTCGTATACACATGTTTACCACTCTGCTGCTCTTCATTCCTTCCTGCCTTTCCGGCCTTCCCCTGGGGTTCATCTCCCTTCTGCGTGAAGTTCATCCTTCACCACGTCCCCGTGGGGGGCTGCTGGTTACAAACTCTCTGTCTTCCTATTTTTCAAAGTCTTCGTTTCACCCTCATTTCAAGAGATTCTTATGCTAGATATAACATGCGAGGCCGGCAGGTGTTTCCCCACATTGAAACTATCACTCCGCGGCTCTCTATTTCCCATCTATCGCTGCCGAGAGCTAGCGGCTGCGTTAGCCTGTCATCCTGTTGTGGGTCATTTTCCTTCTCTGGCCAATTTTAAGATCTTCTCTCTCTTTGTTTGGGTTTTTCTTCCACTATGATATGTCCTCTCTTTATTTACTCAACTTTGGATTTGTTGGAATTTCTGAATCTGTCTTTGATCAGTTCTGGAAAATTCTCCTCAGATACTACCTCCGCTCTGCCCCGTTCTCTCTCCTATCTTTCCGGAACTCTAGTTTTGTACATGCTGAACCTATATGAGCTATCGTCCATATTTCTTAACTTGTCTAACTAATTTTCTGTTATTTTATCTCCGTTCTACATGCTGGACAGTTTCTTCTGAAAAAGTAAATTTTTTCAGTTACAATGTGTTCATTTCTCAAACTTCAATTTGTTCTGCTTAAAATTTGCTATGTCAGTTTTTACAGTTTGCTGTTCCTTGCAGATATCTAGGTTTGTCTTGTCTTTCATTTCTGCACATGTAGTAGTGCGACTGCTTTATAACCCAAGCCTGACAGTGATAAGGCCCGAGGACGTGAGGGTCTCTCTCTGCTGTCTCTCCCCCCTCGGGACGCCTCGGCTCCATGCGGGCTGGTCAGCTCTGACTGAGTGCTGCCTGCTGCCCTTAAAGAATCCTCTGCAGAGTTCTCTGGGACCAAAGGTGAAGGTGGCTTCCTCAGCCAAGTCCCTAGGAGTACTACCACCCAGAGCCACTTTAAATTAAATTCATGGCTTGAGATTTCTGCCCTACCTCATCGACATAAATTTGGGCTACCAATCTGCCCAAGAGTGAGCGTTACAGTTCTTCCAAGTGATTTCCAAGGCTCACTGGCCAGCAGCTGACTGAAGCCTTCAGATGCCTTCTGGCTTGGGGGAAACCAGCAGAGCGGAGCTGGGCGTGGGGAGAAAGGGAGCACGTCTGGCACATCTGGCACGTCTGGCACGTCTGGCTTGCCTTATTTCTGGAATCCCTGAACTGAACATGTGAGCGCTGCAACACCGCACCTACAGCAAAATGCTCATGAGTATGCCACTAAAGGAGATGTTATTATGTTTAGGAACTTGAGGAGGCATAGTTTTAAGACACTAAGGATGCAAAGAATTGTAGATGATGAGATTACCAGGTTATAAAGTTAAACCAATCCGTAATACAGCACAAGGGCAACAAATTATTTTCTTCAGTTAATTCACAACTTTTGCTGGCTCTGAACTGAGATAAAGAGATTTCTCAGGCTGAATTACACTTGCATAACAAAGAAGCGGGTACATACCCTCGTAAAGCCAGCAGCGATGAGGGGCATCACAGAGGGCTCTTCTCTGTCCGCCCTGCGAGACAACATAGTGAGGGGTTAGAAACAGCTTTATCAGTCACATCTACCTCTTTAACTATTTACTAATTAACAAGATACTCTGACTGTCATATAATGAGCACTTTTAGATGAATTAGGTTAACATACGAAAGTATGAAGTTGAAAACAGTTTTCTGTTTTAGTTTCATATTTAACTTTTTGGCAGTCATATTAATACCTGAAATACAGAGATTACTCTGACAACCAGAATACAAGTGTAACAATATAGCTATTGGACATGTAAAATTTTTAATTTAAATTCTTTCCGATTTTCTTCTACTTCCAATTTATGTTTTGAAATTCCTGCTCCCCGACAAAGTTCAGGAAAAAAGTTTAAAGGCCACAGAAACATTTCTTCCATCTACAAAAATACATAAACATTTATTTCAATACTGCCCTTCTCCTCACATATTTCTATTCTTTCCTTACCTCCAATTTAAAGAGGAAATACAAGATTTCCCCTATTTATGTATAATTCAAATCTTCATAAGACATTTGGAGTTAGAAGGCCCTAGGAAGATACGCCTGGGAAACAGTCATACTTTTAGGAATGGAATTCTCTCGTGATTCGCCTATTTCTAAAGTGAAAGGCCATCCAAAATCACAAAACCCAGCGGAAGAGCAGACGCTCCCACTGTGAAGTTAACTGTCAGAGCAAAAGAAAGAAGAAAGAAGAAAAGACCTGTCAAAAGGGTCTGTCACGTGGGTAAGATTCCTCAAGGGAGGAACAACCTAAGACAGGCACAGTCGCAGGGGGGCTATCAGGTGAGAAATTGGGGATCAACAGAGGTGAGGCTTAGAACCTCACCCCCCCTGTTTTGAGAGAAATCTTCTGCATCCGTGGATGTCTTGTTGCCCTTGTCTAGCTCGGATTAGCACATAGTCTACAGGCACACACCTGATCATCTACATTTCCTCTCTTACAACACTAAACTATGTTTTCTA